TGAGGCCACAAGATTAACAGTGTTTTCACACATGCAGTTAATGTCTTAAGTATTAAGTACCTGCATGTTATTACCCTAGTTCTGTTTTAGATCTGAATTCCTGAGACTGCAACCAGCTGAAGTTTCAGTTTGTTCCAGTTCTGGTAATGATTGGCAAAACTCTTCTGAAATTGCAGTCAGCACGTGTAGATAAAGCCGTTGGCACATACATGTTGCAACTGCATTTCAGACTTGTGGGAATTCTACACTGAAGAGAAGTATTTGTCAGTATTCACCTTCAAGATGCATAATATTTTCTAGTTGTAATTTAAAGAAGACAGGAGGCAAAACTGTTTTCCTTAACAGTTTACATATATATCACTTGCCACTGTATCTGCCTTCCAAAAGATGCAATGTTTTGGTTTATTTCCCTTTCAGAGAAAACATGCGATTCTATAAGATGTGAGGATTTGCTGCTTGATGTGTCGCAGAGAAAACCCACTCAAGCCCCCTCATCCAGCCCTCGTACTTAAGCCATAGCAACTGCTGTTTCACACACGGACGTCTCTGACAGGCAAGACAGTGAAAAACAGCAATGTAATGTCAGATATCGCTAACACTGAATTTCTGTGATACTTAGCTGATTCTGTTTTGTTGATGTTAACAGGCTTTCTGTCAACTAATTAGACTATATATTATGGCCAGCGAGGCAGATAACTAACAGGCAGTAATATTTAGATAGGTTTTAAGTTTAAATCTTGAGTCAACATCCAAACTGCAACACACAAAGTAAAGAACATGCTTGAATGCATGTTATGTGTTCAAATGCTAGAAAGCTGCTATAACATAAAACCCCATAAAGATTCTAGCGGAAATTAGCATTATTTTAGCCAGAGCCCATTTACAAAGTTTGTGCATTAAATGCTGTTGTGTAGTGACATACTTGGCAACATGGACAGGATTTAGTGACCGATGCAGCCATTGAAGAGCTCTCCACTGCTCCCTGCGGCCACACCCCTGTTCCACCCCGTCCATTGACACAGTCAATGAGAATTGTTCATTATCCTACAAAATCAACACCCAGAAAACGACCTTTTCTTCACAGAAGACTAAACGAGAGGATAAAATAGACGGTACAAAGGCTGAATTAAGGTGTTACATGTTGTACTCTTCATGGTTGTCTTTCAGAGAGCACAGGAGACATTAAAAAAGGGTAGAACATTAACCATGCTTTTGTCAGAGGTGAGACGAGGTTGCATGTAAGATTAAATGGCATTCAGCTTGTTTTCTGAATCCTGCCATGGTAGTTCTGGCCAACATCAGGAACAGAAGGTCCTTGTCCATGGCCTGCTGCCTTCCCTTGTGCTATGGAAAACACTTTTCTTCCGTCATGGCTGTGAGTGGGGGGCACTCGATTTGCACCTGCTTTTTTAATTATCTTAATTATGGAATCGGTGGCCAGCGGCAGAAATAAACGGCTCAGCTTTTCCTTTTGCCAGTGGCTGTTAAGAATGACCTACTCTCTACCCCTTCACTGCTGCCATGCTGTAGTGCTTAGGCAGGGAGAAAGCGGAAGAGATTGCGACATGGTCGTCAGAGCGTCGGATGGATGGATGTTCCATCCAGGAATCGATGGACTTGGCACACGTGGTTAGAGCTTAATGCCTGGCCCTGCAAAGTGCCTTCATGGAGAATTGCAAAATGCAAAAGCCCATGACCTCATAAGTACTTAGAAGATTAAAATCTGTGGGGTGTTTTTTTTGTCTGCCTGTGTACATCATTACAAATGGGGGGCCTGTGAGGATTTCCGAGTGTTGTGTCCATATTTGTCATTTGTTCCTATTTGGGTCCTAACACAAGTTTATTGGCTCATTCAAACATGTGCACAGAATGTTGTGTTTTCCTGGAAACTCTCACTGAGAGAATTTTATAAGAGGCTGTTTCAGCAGTTGTGACATTTGAATTGCACGCTTTCATAGTATTCCAGTTACAGCGCCAGCACTGAAATATTAAGTGCCTGCTTCTCATGACAGTGGTTGGCTTATTTGACCACTCTGAGTAAACACTCATAATTAATAACTTCAGCATGATAAATAAGTTCTTATTCCTGCTTTGCACTGTGGCTAGTGTTGGAAATAGCATGCAGGACTATTAATAGTGCTGGGGGAAAAAAGCTTTATGTAAATAGAGTGAATCTGTGATGTGAATTTGCCCATGTGAGAGCAAGGCTGTGTGATTGCGTAGCTGGAGAACATGCTGATGCTAAAAAGCTCAGAAGAGGGGGATAGGAGGAAGGAGAAGAGGAGCGTATGAGCTAAGTTGAGAGGGAGGTGCTCATCTGTGTGTGTGTGTGTGTATGCTTGATTCTTTCTTTGCCAGCCTGTGGTGCCATGGTGACAGTGCCACGTAATCTGCTTTGTAAAGAGGATGAGAAAAGAGGTCTGAATTTGCTTTACCTTCACACTGGTCTTCTTAAGATCAACAGCTGTAAGAATTCAGCACTCGTCTTCAGTAGATTACATTATTTCATAACTCTGGTTTGGAATAGCTGACTGAAAAATGATGGCTTATTCACTGTTCAAGCATAATGTGGGTGCAGTTTCATCTATAGTTTGGTTTCAGCTGGCATTGATGGGTATTAGAAACATGGATAACTTCAAAGCATGTTATTTGGTAGGTGCTTTAGATTGTTTTGAAAGAACAATTCAATATACATACAAGCTAAAAAAATTGTACGTTTCCTGTCTGGTAATCTGGTTTCTGTCTGGTTTGCAATACTGTGTAAGGTTTCATTTGGTGTTATTTTAAAAGAAGCAGAACAAAACCTATCATAGTCACGTTCTAAGGCTTTTTTTCAAAAAAGAATATAAAGTCTTTATTAGTACAAACTTAAATACAATCTGTTAGTGATACCGTAGTATTTGTAAAATATTATGGATATTACATTTTATCGAATATCACAAAGCCTCTTATATTAATGTGCATCTTTGTTGTATTGCTTTTTAAAACAGAGATACTGTTTTGATGTTCTCACTTAAAAACTTTGACAACTTTTCACACCATTTCCCAGCCAGTGTCGTCTCTCTTGTCTGAGAAGCCTATAGCTGCGTACAGACGCCCCATTCTTTGGAGACCTATGAAGAGGTTATTAATAGCATGTGGATGGACCTGAGAGAGAGGAAATCAGGTTGCCTGCTGGTAAATATTGCATGATTTCCTCCTGAGCAGCTCTGGAACATGAGCCAGAAAGGTGCACAGGGAGGAGGAAGAGGAAGGTGAAGGATTTGGGTTACCTTCTCTAGCTTTGGTGACTGATTATCAATATGTTGTGTCCCTAAAGTTGTTATCGATGAGATGAAAGCGTCCATCATTCATATAGTCCTGTGTGGTGTTGGTAATTTGCTGAATGTTAAGATTTTGCCGCCCTGGTTGAGCTACTGTCAGTTTGATCGTGAGCGACCTGCTTTGCACATACCAAGAACGAACTTTTGTACTTGTTCTTCCTTTCACATATTAGTACTCCAAGTCAGTACCAGTAATTTTACATTCCATTTGAAGCTCTTCCCAGTCTGTGTGTGTGTTCTGGAATGTAGGAGGAAGCCAGCTTGATGTATTTCCTCATTGCTGGAGTTCAGAATGTTGAAGCACAAAGAATGTCTCCATAAAGGAAGCTGTACGTGAACAATTACGTGCATTTCTCAGGTAGCGATGGAGTCATGCAAAGTGCCATGAGTATACTCTTAAAAAGAAAAGGTGCTACAGTAGAACCACTTTTTAAACAGAGGTCTGCTTCTCAACCCTGTTTCTGGAGGCCCACTGCCCTGCACTTCTTAGAGTTTTCCCTGCTCCCAATTCTCAATACACCTAATTCAACTAATCAGCTTTTTAACAGCCCACTATTGAGTTAAAGTGGCAGGAAAAGCACTAAAATGCACTGGGCAGTGGGTCTCCAGGAACAGGGTTGAGAAACACTGGTATAAAATATAGTTGTCCTCTGACTGAGTGAGGAGGGTAAAGTTAAGGTAACTTTGCGGCGGGCCGAATCAAATGTCCGCAGGGGCCAATTTTGGCCTGCTGACTACATTTTGGGCAGCCCTGGTATGGACATTTTACATCATGTGAATGTTCTCTAAACCTTTTAAAGGTTTTGCACCATTAGAACCAAAAATGGTTCATGTCATCACTGAAACTCAGAAATCCACAACATACGTTTGAGTTTAGTTTTTCTCTGCTCTAATATCAAATATTTGGCTGAGGTCTGGTTTGAGTAAATTGGTAAATTGAGCATGTTGGACCTGGGAAAACATCAAACCGCACAGGCTAAAAAGAAATCAAAGGGAAGGGACACCTACTGAGCATGACCCAGCAGATTGATGCCAAAGAACAATCTGCTGCCCCCTGCTGGAGAGGTAGACTCCTTAGTCATGATCATATTATCCTCTAACTCTGCTCTGTACATTGTCCTGTTGTCTGGTCCTTCCACCCTTTTTTCCCTGCTCCAGCCAGTAACAGTAGTACTATATCTGTCCTTTTCTTGTCTTTCTCTGCCATATAAGAGCTTGTAATCATAACCTTGTAATCATTGTCCAGGCAGTGTCTGTCTCAGGGGTATGAAACTGAGGACAGCACAGTTTGCCTGCTCTAACATTTGGACTAAATCTGGCAATTAACTGATGAGTTGAATCAGGTGTGTTTGAGCAGGAAGATCACCAAACTGTGCAGGAAACCAGCCCTCCAGGAGTTTTCCACCTCTGGTCTACCTCGTTTCTTTATTGCAGGTGTACTGAATCTCAATTCTGTAAACGCCACACGATTTTTGACAGAAATGTAAAAAGAAGTGCTTGCAGTTTGCAGCAGTTGCTGATGGAATATTTGTTGTGTATTGTTGTGTTGTGTTCAGGATCAGCTTTACCCCATTCATGCCACGAAATAAACACACAAACAAAAAAGAGCAGAATCTTTGATGAAACCTCCTATTAAACCATGTCATGTCTTGTGCTCGTATGTGTCTGTCGCTGCAGGGCCGGTGGTGTATGTGCTAGATCTGGCAGATAGACTCATCTCCAAGGCCTGTCCATTTGCTGCAGCTGGAATCATGGTGGGATCCATTTACTGGACCGCAGTCACATATGGAGCCGTCACTGTTATGCAGGTGGGAGAATGCACAATTTACACATTTACATTCAGAAAACGATCAAGTTTTAACTTCAGAATAGCACAATGTATGTACCAGCTGTGAGACTGAGCTTTTTTGTCTTGTCAGTAACAACCTTACATGGAATATCAGTGGAAAAGATTAAAAATGTCTGTGGAAATCTGTCATTTACTTCCTATGCTTTTTGAAGTGGAACATGAGTACCGCAGCACTGACGTCTAACTTCACCACAGTATGGTACAGAATGTTCTTTCAAGAAGTATCAAGATCTGGTGTGGTAGGACAGCATCCCAGGATAGAAAGGTCATGGAGCAAGTTGTGAGACCTTCTGGAAAGATCATTCATGCTGCCTTGCCGCTCATCAACTATATCTGTTTCCTAAGCAATAAACAGGCCAAAACGTGAGAGAGTATCCAACCATCAATGGCAGCATCAGTGCACGCCCTGCTAGACTTACCTCATTAATATTTGTACCCATGTACATGATAGGTGTATTATTTTGGACATCTTCACTAACTCCTTATGTATTGTGTTTTGCACATTGTCAGCTGTTTGCACTTGCATTGTATCTCGCTGTCATCAATATTTTTTAGTTGAAAATAAAGGATTGGTGTTGGTGTTTTCTCTGCCCCAGGTGGTGGGCCATAAGGAGGGCTTGGATGTGATGGAGAGGGCTGACCCTCTGTTTCTACTCATCGGCCTGCCCACTATCCCCGTCATGCTAATTCTAGGCAAGATGATTCGCTGGGAGGATTACGTGCTCCGCCTCTGGAGGAAGTATTCCAACAAGCTGCAGATCCTCAACAGCATCTTCCCAGGTCAGTATTTTTGCCATGCTGTTTCTGCAGGAGTACAGTAACTGAGGGGATGCAGGAATGGAATCGATTGTATGGTATGTAGGGGTTGGTGTCACACGATATCTCTCTTGGAAAGTAGTGTAGAAACTGGATTGCTAAGTGATGGAGGCCACAAAAACTGCTGTAGAAGGGGAGAACAATTTATTTGGATACAGGTACTAAGTAATAAAAATGCTTAGATAAAGATGAATAGAGTTGGTAATTGAGGGTCAAAATATCAGGATACTAGAGACTTTAAGGATGAGGTTCATGGGAGAAGTATTGTGCAAGATACATACACTAATGATCGCTGTCGACTGAACTTTTATTTTTTTATTTTTTACATAATTTACATAATTTTTTAACACAGCTGCCTTTTACATTGTGAGAATTTTGCAATGAATGGACCAATGGAAATGGTCCAGAATTGCTTGGGGAAAAAATCTTTTTTTTTATTCTATTCTCCTGAAAAGTTACCACTTGGTTACAGTGTTTGTTATACATGGCCGCCCCAAGTATATTGACTGCCATCCAGCCATGTTTTGTCCCATTTCAACAAATTACTAAGAGAAAATATTTTATAATTATATGAATAAACAATGACGCACCATGTCAAAGCATCACTCTTTTTCACTGTGGTCACTTCCACAACCTTTCACTTCAGCCAGATCTGTGAGATGCATCACATCTAAAAATAGATTAATGTCTTTATTTAATGTTGTACTTGTTTAACACGGATAAGTAAACAAATACTAAGAGTTTGGACATATATAAAAACGAATACCTACTCCCTTCTACCCCACGTTTATTTCAGACCTGTGGGAAACACTGCTAAACCTTGCTGACTGGGTCAAGGTCAAGATAAACTTTATTATCTTCAGGGGGCAATTTGTTGCACCGCCAGCAGTAAAACAGTTATTAGCAACCGTCAGCACACCCTGAACCACACACAAGCCAATTTGCACAGAAAAAAAAAACATTACTTTGTATTATTCAAAAGGCCAGTAGCAGTAGGGACAAATGCTAAAACTCCTAAGCTTTCCATGGAAGTACATGCACTGGTGGGCTTTGCACATACAATATCAATGTTTAATTCAAAAGTTAACTTGTCACCAAATACTTGTAATCTGACAGCTAGATAACTTCTTTGACAGAAGCCTTAATCTATGAAGTAACCGTTAGCTGCTTGCTATATATTTCCAGGTTATTGCAGTGCATTTCAAACACTGACATGAGAGACGTCGCTAATAATCGCTGTCAGTCTGAAACAGCACAGCTTTCCTCAGATGAGCAGGCAGACCCCAGCTGTAAGCAAGGTTTACATGGGAGCCCCCTTTGGTTGAATGATTTGTGATAAAGTGAAGAGAGCAAACGATACATTTTATATTAGTATAGAAATTCAGGAGCCTTTACTTGGATCTCTCTATATACCCCATCTGACCTCTCACATACACTCGCATGTAGGATGTGTAAAGAGACAAGCTGATTGATGGGCTAGGAAGTTCTCCTGAATGAATAATCGTAGTTACTCCCATACAGTAGTGCTGACTAGAGATGCATCAATACCTTTTTTTTTTTTTTCAGAAAAAATTAGTACTCACCGATACCAAGTCTGATACCATTCTGATTAACCTACTTAGAATTGTAAGTGTAAGTGCAATCTACCTTAACAGTTAAATGATTAAAATCTAGTTTATTTTAAATGGCGTGTTAACTAGATATGCTACATCGGTTTCCTTTGATCAAGTAGCGCCGCAGTGGAGGAGAGTGGGCTTTGTTCCACTTCAAAAAACTGCTCCTGTAGAGCCGTAAGTAAAGTACGTTTCATAGATTTGAACCCAGATCTGTCTTTTCAACGACAGTCTCTGTGACACAGTGCCAGCAGGAATCACAGGAGGAGCTCACCTGTTTTACGTCTGAAGTCTTTTGTTTGGCTGGTTGAGCTGTAGTTGAATGTCCTCTAAAGTCAGACACGCTGTGTGATTTTAGAAATCTTGTTCTTTGGTGACTCACACTGTACAGACAGTTTCAACAAACCATCATGTGCAGACAAAACCTATAATTTATATATTCAAAGTGCATGGAAACACTCGGTCCATGCTACATGTAATGCTTTGTCCATGAAGAACTTCAAATAACTTCAAAAAAACACACTGCGTGCTGAGCACTGAGCAAAGAGAAGCTGAGCAGCACTGCTAACACTGCCCACTAAAGCTAGAAGCAGGCGGTGATTTACAGGGTAGGACAATATGGTCTCTTTCCAGCCTGTTTTACAAAAAGTCACCGTATTATTGTTTATACCTCAGAATTCTGTTGTCAAACAGAGAAAAGTAGAAGTATATAAGTATGAAGTATAGATGGTTCCTACTTTGGTAGGAAATGTTTTGTTAGCCTTAGTGCCTCCACCTATATTGGGGAAGCGGTTGTGATTGTGTTTCTAAACAGACTGAAATCACACAGTGCATTCCTGGTGGGAACCTGCCAAGGTGGAACATTTGAAGTGACCAGTGACGTTGTGTCCGAGCGTCACAGAGTCTGTAACACGCTTTTGTGAGCAATTGGCTTGCGTCACACGGTATCAGCAGGTATTAGATGTTGGTATCGGTGCATTTTTAGGAATACAAGTTCAAGTAAATGAGCATGGTATTGGCCCAATACCAGTATCAGTGCATCCCTATATGTGACCTAAGCAAATATTTCATCCAACTATTACTTTCAAATTTATTCTGAATTGTGTCCCACCCTTGTTTTGCAGGTATTGGTTGTCCGGTGCCCAGAATCCCTGCTGAGGCGAGTCCACTGGCTGATCACGTGTCAGCTACTCGTATCCTGTGTGGAGCCCTGGTGTTTCCCACCATCGCCACTATTGTGGGCAAGCTCATGTTCAGTAGTGTCAACTCAAACCTGCAAAGGACCATCCTGGTAGGCACACAGTGACCATTTTAGAACAGTGGCTTGTCTACCTTACCCTAAATATAAGTCAGCCAAGACATGGTATCTACATCTCTAGTGTTGTACTAGAGCTATGAGGCTAACGTTGCTAACTTCGTCAGTCTAAGTAATCTTAAGTAGAATGCTTATGTGGTTTCTGTACACTGTAGACAAAAAAGTAGATAAAATTATGTTGCCTAGCAACACACATAGTAGTAGCATATATCTTGGAAAATAAATTTTGTCTGCTATAACTAAATTTATCTGCTGTAAACATGTCAAGACTGATGATGTCCTTCAGGATATTACTGTGTGCACTGCAGTCCAAAAATACCTAGTAAATGTAATGTTTGTTCATATTTGAGATCTTATTAATGTCATGTACAAAAACAACTAAATATAATGACCCACTGTGTTTCTTGCCTCTGCAGGGTGGAATTGCATTTGTGGCCATTAAAGGGGCATTTAAGGTGTACTTCAAGCAGCAGCAGTATCTCCGACAAGCCCATCGCAAGATCCTCAACTTTCCAGAGCAGGAGGAGGCCTGAGTGGGGCAGAAAGAGCGACCACGCCCCTTACAGACTGAGAAATCACCAATACCTCCATGCCACCTGCACCATTTCCTCTGTGTGCTTGTGTGCTGCAGAGTCAATACCGCTCGCTGCTGCTGGGATCAGCTCTATCCTGGTGACCATGATTTGGATTTTATAGCGTATGCAATTGAGGCTAGAGGAGTGGGCAGAGGTTGACAAGTGTTGCACCACACATCAACAGTGCACCTAGTGGTTCACAAAAGCTGTTCATTTTTGTCCCTCTCTCTAAGAATGTGATCTTTCTTTTCCTCTCATCTGTTTGGTTGGAGATCTAGGCTCATTCTCTCCAGTTATGTAGGTAATCAGAACTGAGAGAGGTTCCTTCTTTTCTGTATTTTATAGGTTGTGATATTTTAAATTGAGTGGAATGTGTAATTAAGAGTTTTATGTGAATAAATGATCCTTTTATGTTACTCTGACAGTGAGATGGATTAGAAACGTCCTCATCCACATAGGTGACATGGCTTTGACTGGTGCTTGGGTTGTATTAATGAATCAGTGACTCTGCTGTGTAATTGTACAATTCTAGAAGCATTTATTCATAACCCCCCTATAGTGTTTATTCTCTTTAAATCTTAGAACATCGGGCTGTTGCTGGACACAGATGAAGCTGATATACACAAACATTGATGAATTTAACACTAAAATGAATTGTAGCCTGTGAACAGTACTGATGTCTGTCCAGAAACTCTATCCCAGTTCTTGAGAGCAGGAGCTTAGCTGTGGAAAGCTAACAGTCAGAAACTGTATGACAGCCATGACTAATGCAAAATATTTTGCCTTCTGACTTAATGATTAGACTTGAAAAGGCTCTGTGTAATCATATTGATTATAAATTGCATTTGACATCACTAATCAACACGTGCATAGACTTTTAAGACGCTTAAGGCTGGTGGTGATTTTTCCGTCCACTAAAGTAGTTGTCCTTTGCTCTGTCATTACAAAATCGGAAGAATACCCCAAAAACACACTTATTATTGTTATTATTTTACTACTGTGCTATTTGAGTCAGAAATTTCAACTGTGTTACTTAGAAGTAACAGCTTAAGGCCAGCACTAACATTTCAGGATCTCTTCTAGCATGATCTAAGAATAAAGAGGTCCCTGAGAACCACTCAGCATAATGCTGTTAAGATTGCTCTCTCATTGCATCACCATGTGAGGGAAATGATTTAAAATCAAAATCATTTGAAGCAGAGGCCTCAGATGTACGGACAGTGTTCTACGACTGTCCTAACCTCCTAACCATGTTTCATGACATTGTCTATACTGAACTGGAAGCATTAGTAATCTTTCTCCATCATACCCCTGAGATTGCTCGTCTTTTTTTGTTTTTTTTTTTAAACGCAATGAAGCGGGCGTTGCTGAACTCTTGGAGAACGTGGCCTACATTGATTATGCTGAAAGCTTTGAAAGCAGCCTGACAATGGTGAACATGCCAAATGTGCCGATTGAGTCGAGTGGATGGATTCAAGCGATGATTTCTGGATTGTTCCATGCGATCACTACTAACCTTTGTGCATCTGTGACTGCCGGTTTGTACATGATATGATCATAACAGAGGAAAGCGAGAACCATCAGTGTATTACTTTGTAAAAATAGCATGCCAATAACAGACCACTGCAATATGTGGAGATGGAAAATAAGCCTACTGAACATAGAAGGGGACAAGTTATATCAGCCGTTAGTAACCGGTTTGTTACTTTGACTTTATTCTTAGAGCATCCAACTCTGAATATAACTAATACCCCACAAAATGCTGTATATATAATAGACAAAATTTGATGTAACTACTCTTTACCCAACTCATTGCCATCCAATAGACTAATATATTCCAAAGTGTGTCTAATAAGATCTTTGAATATTCTAGGTAAACGGCTCACGTCTTCAAACAGTAATGCCAAACACAAAAAGATTGATGTATAAATGTATGCATTGTATATACAGATATGTCTGAATTTACAGTTATGGTTGATTTGTGAATAAATGTATTTTTCCAATGCTTGACTTTTGTCTTATGCGCTTCTTAAACTTTCGAGCTTGAACTTTTGAGTTTAAAAAGACCAAATATGCTGTCATTTTATTTGACAATCTAATTTGACAGATCTGATCATGAAACACATCACAGCACAGGATGCTGAGGAAGAAAAGTAGACTTAAGCCTTTAACCACAAGGAACTCAGGGTTATTTTCATACATTTTAATCTTATTAAAACACAAAATTTCTCTCAAACACACCAGTACCATTCACTAAATGTCAAACACCACCCGTCCCGATGGATTGGAGCTTCAGTGGGTCACTTTCCAACAAATCTTTCAAATGATGGCTGCTGGCACTCGCCATTTCTCGACCACTTTTCTCTCAAAGGTTTGGGGAAGGGAGTTCAGACCTCACACGAGTATTTACTGGCAAATACTGATCAGTTGTACTGAAGAACTCATGATCAAAATCACCAAAATCATGCTTCTTTTTCAGCTTCATACTGCAGCCCAACTCATGCTTCTTCAACCAATGGAAATCTTTCTTTAGTATCTTGATGGCAGCTTTTAAAACACTGTTTCTGTGAGGTTCTACAGAGCTGACAAGCAACAAGCAAAGACTTGGATACAAGAGACATTGAAAATGTGTTACATAGAAAGACAGTTAAAGGGGGGGAATTCCACTGATGGTTAAGATGTATACAAAGTGATTCAGAGTGGTTTGATAGACAAACAGTGAGTCCGAATTGTTCACAGTGGTGGTAATAGGAACCAGACGTCTGAAGCGCTTGACGCCTCTAAAAGCCGTTACACTAAACGGCTATGAACATGTCTGACACCTGAGACACTTTTATGATAGTTTTGAGATTAGGTTTTGGTATAATTTTTAAATCCATTCATGCTGGAGAGGTACATACAGGACATTAGAAAGTAAAACCGTCCCCCAAAGAAATTCCCTTTTTTTTTTTTCAGATTTACCACTATGGTATCATCAACAACATCATCATCTACATTTAAAAACTCATACGTGTAGGTTCACGGGTTGTTTAAACAGTAAATAAAATGGCTCTACTTGCACTGCAGACATCGCAACCCCTGGTTCATCACCACCACTGTCAGTAAAACCATGTTTCTCCACAACAAGTCATTTCAAACCACTCAAAGACTGTGTTTGCATCTTAACGATTTAATTATGCAGAAAGATTTAAACAAATCTGTGGAATTCCTATTTAAAGCTAGTGCCTGACCTGACTGTACACCATGACAGAATCCGTTACCTGCTGTAAAGTGAGGCGGTACCTTTGGGAATTAAGAAAGAAAAAGTTGAGATGCCTGAGATTCTATGTATTAGTGGTTTAACACCTTAAAATGCTGAACATGTTGACGACACTTCCTGTACTACTCTTAACTGGTCAAGTACTGATTATAGATTCTGTAGAACTAACAGAAATCAAGAACCTACATAATTGCAAAGATGATACAACTACAAATTATGGTGACGGTACACAGTTGTGTTGCTCTCTAGAAAATGCAGCATTACAGTTGATTCAGTAGGCCTGAGAACATCCAGGAGATCAAATAAAGCTGTTCTCTGCTGTAGGGAAAACAAAAAAAAACAAGCTGTCTGCAGTGGTTTTGCTTGGCAACGCTACTCGAAACCTGAGAGATAAGGTCACGAAAGGTCACGTGACTATGCCTAACTAACACTCGCAGCATGCAGAGACAACAAAAAAGCTTTTGCAATGCTTCCTAACATCACTGGCCTTATTAGGACTTGATAGCACATGCAGGACCTCGTCCAACGTGCTCGTGAACTACAGCAGTTCCCCAGCGCAGTGAAGAGTTTAAGACAAGCCACAGGTCCTGTGACGTTATTGCTTATAAAGTCAGATGCATATTTACATTAAAGACTTTAGTTGTCCAGCAACACTAGTTTTTTTATCTTCAATTAAACCACATTAAAGGGCAACATATGGGCATCCATGTTCACCTTTGAGCCTACTTAAAGATCAAGATTCCAGCATCTGGATAAAAGAATCGGTTTGGAAGGCTCAAAGTTGAGACGCTGCCCTGGTCAGACTAAGCCAGAATTTAAGGGCCCATGACTGACCAGCCTGTCATGCACAAACACAAAAATGAGAGAAAGTGTAAAATGAAGGATAACTCTTCAGCCATGTTCGGATTTCATTCCGATTCATTTACGGAAAACGACTGCCACTTTGAAGACTTTGGAAAAGTTGCGTCAAAAATAACAAAATGAAAATGATATTTAAAAATCATTTATTATAGTTCTCCTTCAACCTCAAATAAAATTAAAAACCATAACGGAGCCACCTTAAGCAGGCCAACATCATCCTTAAGAAAGCGATCTGATAAAACTGAAGTTCATGCCCATCTATTCAGTAGCCTAAAACAGCTCCTCCAAAGCAACCCAACATTCAACAACTTAAAATAAAAAATAGTATGTCAGATTTTAAAAACCCGATCATTGATTAAAATATTTCTTTCTTAAGGCCAAAATATTGTCAGTACATAAACCATTCGTAGACAATTTGCTGCACAAGCTTTTTCAAACTCAAAAAAAGATGTGAAAGTTTTGGGCGAATGGGCTCAATAACAACATCCTGGCACTCAAGTTCTTTTCTCCGTTTACTCAAAGTCGGCTGAATCCATTGATGCCATTTTGTCCTGACTGTATGCAGTTTGAACACTGTAAGAAATTCAGGTCCTCAGGCTACCCTGAATCAAAATACCAGCCTTTCTGACAACTCTGACAGTGCATGCTCAGTCGTTCTGCAGTGTTATAAGCCTCAGTGCTGCATTTGACATCTTTTCATGCATTATCTATTGACTGATGCTGTTCAATAGATACCATCGTGCTAGATTACAGGAGAAAGAAGCCAAACAATCAGAACATGAGAGGAGATTTGCAGTCATGAAGACTAGGTAAGTTCGATGGGCAGCCTTGCCTCAAAAAAAAATAAAAATTACTTCTAAAACAACCACAGCTGATTTGTTTACTTCATATGTAAATGTAATAAATAGAGAACAAAGAGCAAACCTCACATCTTTTATCATATTTCCCTGCCTTTGTGTAGAGCAAGCTGCTCCTGAAGACGTCCACTTCTTATTCTAATATAAGCTGTCAGTGTTCAAACTGCACACAAAAGGGAAAAACTGGGAAAGAAAAACAACATCAATGCATTTACCAAATTCTGAGTAAGCATAAAAAGGTATAAACTGCCAAAATGTTTCAGAAGTAAAGAAAACACTTTCCAGCATGTTGGAAATGAAAGATTTAACCTTTCACTGTGATCAAACACTGTAAAAATGTCCCTGTGGTCGACACCTAAATGAAATGTTCCTGATTAGGGAAATATGATTTTTTTTTTTTTTGGATATTCTAAAACAGTCTTCACAATGTGTGTTTACTTGTACAACTGACATCCTAAGTGAAGTGACTTTATGCAGCTCCTTAGTGGCTGAGCTATGAAGTAGAGCGCTGCTAACATGGTGAATTACCACTGCTATGGCTCCGCTAGATCACTCACACTCTCACACACACCCCACACACACCCCACACACACCCCACACCCACAGAAGATGGTGTTACTGGCTCTGAACTCAGGAGAACTTCACGCTGCTTGTCTCAGCCAGTTCCCCTGATGCATTGTTGCTGGTGCCGCTCACAGTTTGGCAGCCATGAAGTTGATGTGAGGTTTCGCGAGTGGGAAGAGAGGAAGACTCCTCTTAAATTCAGTCATGTCCTGCACCAACACCGGCTGAACACAAACACAAAGAACGTCCAAAGAGTAAACAACTAACATATCAGCAATAGATCGGTTGAATTGGTTATATTGAAGAGCTTGTTCAGGAAATGTCAGCCAGCCTACCTGAGGCAGGGAGGGAGCAGGAGCCAGATTGACATCATTCTGAGCAGGGAATTCACCCACCACTGGGCCTGCCAGAAGAACAGATGAGCAGGTTTAAAGTAACAGTACAGCCAAAAAATGAAATGTACACAGTTATATAAGCTGTTATACTTTTTGTTGAAGAAAAAAATTAGTGCACATCCTCGACAGAGAACACAATTCTGTACATTTCAAAGCACAATTACTGTTTATATGCCGAATTTAACATTGGGGGAAAAAAAGACCATAGGGCACATTTTATTTTGTGTTTTATTTTTTCTAGTATGTTGAAGTCTAAAAATTTGCCAGCATTTATTTTTGTTCTCTGTAGAGGCTGTGTGCTTGCTTTAATTTAGAAAATCAACAAAACATGTCATTTGACTGGAGGTATTCGACCTTTTTCATAAGTTTGTACCCTAACTACAAATCTGATGACTTTAAGTGCAATGAAAGTGTTCAAAGAGAACTCGAAATGTGGCGAAGGACATGTATAAATAGCATGACAGCACGAGGACTGGTGCATTATCTTTTTAGCAATGCGCTTACTGTGGCTGCAGCCTCACTGAGGATGTGAGGGAATTATCTACCATTGTCATCATATCTTCATCAGTGTAACGTTAATCATGCGTTTAAGATCTAAACATCAAGCCGGACCTTCTTTTTGAGCCTGTGTGTTTGACATTAAAACGTTAAAGATGTGTGACGTGCTACACAAAACTCTCGTGAAATGCAATCAGACACTTCTGACTTTTAAATTATTATTTCAGGCTTTACAAGGTGTCTTGCAGCAGAGCGCAGACACCATATTTTAGTGTTTGTTTTTCCTTGCAGAAACATCACTTCTTTAACAAATAAACAAATAAATCTTACACAGTGCAGCTTTAGTGCATAGTGCATCCTCTTCCCTGTAGAGGATGTCCATTTTCATAAATAACAGTATAGAAGTCTGCACAGGCGTGAACCTGAAGCTCAAATCCAACTCCGACTAGTACTACTACTGCTAAATTTAAAGCCTGATCCGAACACCACTCACATGTACTAACAGAGAAGGATAATCACAGTCATTGTTTTACAAAGTGCACTGCTTTGTTAAGCGAGTTGACTGACAGGAAATTATCTTCTGAAAGCTAAGCTTTCACTGTAAGCCACTGCTAACTTACCAGGTGCACGCAAAGTACTCCGACACTGACATTTGTTTCAGGCTAGTAGCTTTTGAGGCTGCACAAAATTCGTCTGCTTCCACAGTAAGCGCATCGCTGAAAAGACAACGCATCAGTCCTCCTGCCATCACAGTATTCTGAGGTATCTTGAGGTTTTTATCGGATTGAACAACTGGGTCATAACGTATGATTAAGACGCCTTCGACTTAACTGGGAATTTTAAACAGCTTCCATTAGCAAGTTTTCATTTCATCCATGATGAAGGAAAAGCAAGACTGGTTTTATTGTTCACTTACTATGCTATACTAGAAAACGAAAAAAAGAAAAAAAGGAAAAAAAAAAACAACTTCCATCCAACCCAAGCCTGAACCCGATGATTACATGACGATTACATGAAAAATCACCCCAGTCATACACTGTCAGAACTCAAAGTCAGGATTTGGGAATACAGTTTGCACAATGCTAAACTAGTGGCTAAAAACATCAATTACTTGTTAATGAGCTACATTAGCCTCACAGCCCCAGTGCAAAGGTAAGCATTGGACTGAATTTTAAAAAAGATAAATTGTGTGAATGAGTCTGGTTGAGTCATTGCTTCAAAACAGTACTAAACAATCTACTACAGCATTGACTCTGCTGACTCTCCAACACGTTTGACCTCTGGTGAGTACTTACAGGAGTCCATTTCCCGAGACAGCACATGCACAGACACCTTGTGCCTCTTAGGAGCATCTATAGCCAAAAGATCCTGCAGAGCCAAAAAAGGAGAGAGAGAGAGAGAGAGAGAGAGAGAGAGAGAGAGAAGATGACTGAGAAAGGAGCCGAGACAGGATGAATACGTTTTTCACCTTGTTTCTCTCTTCTATGTAAATGAAGGAATTATCAGGCAAGAGAAAAACAGCTTCACCTCTAGGCAAAAATGTAATAGGTTTCAGAAACGTTTCTCCCCTGAGACACACAAGGCAGTGGGAGATATGAGGTGCTGAATGGAAGGGTGGGGAGAGGGGGAGCAGCTCTCTCCTCAGTAAAACAGCACCTTACTTAGCACAAGGCTTCAAAAGCACAGCAGCACTTCTTTTAAATGTGCAAACTGGTTTGTGTCAGATAATCCTTGGTACAAATGAGTGCGTGAGGAAACTTACCCTGTAAAACTGCATGATGTTGTCCTTAGTTAACGTCTTCAGGTAGGCAACTTCAATGTTATCTGTGGATGAAAGAATCATGTTATCAAACCTGGAACTTCACTGAGTCAAATGTTATTTGTTTTTAGTGCTCTTGCAACACTCTCCTCATCAAAAGTTTGAGGACAACTAGCTTTTTGAACCATTTGAACTCATTCAACTGTCACGATGCTGACAGACAAAGATAGGGATGGCAGGCTAGCTAAACGATTTAGCATGAACGGCCGTAAATCTACAAAATTGAAACATTAAAATAACTCCGAGTCCTCAGTCCTGAAAGAGATTTCTGTTCACTTATCAATGTTTTTTCACTTATGATGGAATATGAACAGTGCACTACAGGTTAGCAGTGAAAAATGAACTTAGGCATCCTTTTAGTAAACCAGCTAAACTGATAGTCAGACTCCTCTGTATCTGTATGCGACATAACGTTACAGCACAGAACTTTGGAACATCCATTGTAATAAGAGATGTATGGCTGTATAAACTATAGTAGAAGAATGAACAAAGCAACATACCTCAAGTAAGGTTAATTATGAAATGTAAATAGCAATTTTTAAAGATGGTACTGAGAACATGTATTCGAGTACTCGTTTGGAGACAACAACCCTCAGCCCTAGGGTAAGCCCTAGCTTTTATCTATAGATAGAAAACTGCCAAAATGTTTATTCAGGTAAAATCTACTTTTAACACCAAGGAAGACACTTTAATGAACATGAATGTTGCAGAATATTATTAAAGCTTTAGCACTATACATGTTTAATGTTAAAGCCCCTGCAGCTATTTTCCTTTCTTGAAAAGAAACAGCCAAAAAAAAATCTGAAAAAGGCAAGATGTCAAACTTTTGATAAGCAGTGTACATCTTCAAGATTGCTCAAGTTCAGTGAAGTCCACAGCCTGTTCCTCACCTCTGTCGAAGTTGTACTGCTGGGATATGATCTCGCCCCAGTACTTGGCGCACTCCGCTGCGAGTTTCTTGGGCTTGTCCAGGCGGCGGATTGCCAGAGCCTGAATGTGTTTCTGGAAGGCCTCCTCACCCATCTCCTCCACACTCTTCTCCATGGTCTTCAGGAAGGCCTCCACTCGTGACTCCAGGTAATGAGGAGCCTTCTCAGACTGGATGATGAACCGAAGGCCCTGCACGCCGTTAGCCCTGCGGGGCCCACTGAACACGATATAACCTGCAGGGAAGAAGAGATTGAGCTTAATTACTTAAACACTGAACAACTACAGATCTTTTTGAAAAACGTTCAGAAGAGGCTCCAGTAGTGCACAGACGTTTAAAGGATAGCACCACTGTTGGGAAAATCCCGAATGGTCATGCTTAATAAGATGCAGCACGTTACACTATTTGAAACATTTAATAGAAAAACTCACGGCACTTTGTTTTATACTGTTTTTAAAATGTATACTGGTGAATTGCATCTGCGCCAAATCTCAGACAATTTCATGATACATATCATGATGCATTTTGCCATGTTGCGGAACCCTAGCGTGTGCATGTATGGCGTACCTAGCTGTTCCTTGGTGCGTAGCGTATTGAAGCAGGGCTCCGAGACGATCTGGCAGAAGAGCTCCAGCAGCATGTTCTCATGGGTGGTCTGCATGTCTGTCTGATAGTAGATCTCTATGCCACAGTTATTATGGACCTCATTCCTCTGCTGGTAAACATACCAGCCACCTGATAACCACAGAGAACCGGACTTAGACACAAGAGCCATGACAAACAAACATATAAACATACAGAGATACAAAACACACACAGAAATCATAGACGTTTGATACACCTTTGATATGAATCTGTATCACGTTTAAAGGAAACCTAAGACGAAATCTTCACTGACAATAAAAGGCTATAATGAGTAATTCAGCAGCCATGCTATTTCTAGCACTGGCAAGTGCCAGTTTTCCATTAGAGTGGAAGTGTGCTATGCTCGAGGGCCCTCCACACTTTCACTAGAGTGCCATTTTTGAGCTATAAGCAGCAACACACAGCCTACGCTGAACTTTAAAATCAGACCTTTATTCAGCACCAAACCCTGCCTGAAATGCAGTGTGACAGCAGAAAGCATTCCTGTAAGATTTAGCCATGCAAAGCTATAAAGTTAGCATTAACATAATCCCCATTACTGGGTTCACATGGAGTCCAGTACCTCTATCCTCCTAGCTCAGAGACAAAGACCATGTAGCCCACGTCAGCCAAACTGTTGCCAGCTTGCCTGGCTGTGTCATCACTGAGTGCATTTAAATGCACAACAGTATAACAATTACCTGGCAATCCGGATATGGCAATGCTAAGAGTGAAGTGTTTACATGCATAGAAATAAAGGAAAGGGCCTGAATTAACTTAATCTCAGATATTTTTTCTCTCTCTCTCTCTCTCTCTCTCGCTCTCTCTCCAAAGTCAAGTGGTTTTGAGCATCTCAGCTCTTAAAAACACTGAGTAAGAAAAAATAAAAAATAAAAATAAAAAATATAAAAAAAAACAAAAATATATTTGCAGTACTGTGCAAGTCAGAGACCCCTTCATTTATTTAATCTCCAGTCAAACTGGCCATTAGGTACACATTATTCTCTTTTCAGCAGCAGAAAACATATATACAGACATAAACATAGACACCTCAACAACTAAACAGAACGTCACATTTTTAGTATTTAGCATGTCCAATCTTTGCCTTTATTACAGCTTCCATTCTGTTCAGTAGCCTTGCTTTTGGTTTTTCAAAGAAATCGGCACAGATATTTTTTTAACACTCCCAAAGTTTTAGTTTTAGAAGTTGGTTGCATTTCTGCTTCTCATGATCCAAGTAATCCCACACACAATGAATGATGTCGAGGTATGGGCTCTGGTGTGGGCCAGTTGCACATTTCCTTTTTTAGTAACAGCTTCTTGACAGCTACACATCCTTTGAGACTCAGCGTTGCCTTCTCTCAGTGAAAGAATGGACAAAACCACCTGTGGATTTTGTCAGATTTACTCCTTTCTCTGGAGGAAGGGAGCTTTAAGTATTGTTTCTGTTTCAGTGGTTTACCAGGTCTTGCAAAGTTGTTAGGAGTCCCATTTTCTCTATCTTTTGATCATTTTTGAACTTCAATTTTGGAAAATTTAAGCCCCTACTTATTTTCATTTGTCTTCTCCTTTCTTAAGCAAGCAGATTATCTTCTATCTAATCTCCTCAGAAATCTCCTGAAAAATGAACAACTTTTACTTAATGGCCTTTTTGACCAGGAATCAAATCATTGAAGGCTGATCTCTGATGTTTTCACACTACTGTATTTGTATGCGACATTCTGCTGACATTTGCATCATACAAATGTTTATATATGATGAGAAACAGGTACGGATGTTGCACGGATAAAGCACTCTACTACAAGAGAATGGTTACTGTCATTTTAACAGCAATCAGTTAGTTTAAGTTAACTGAGTTTTTGATGGGGAAACACCACAAACCTCCATTTCTCTATCGTGCTGCAGTGGTGTATCAGTTCATCATTTCTGTTAACCTACAATAACCTTGCCACTCCTTTCAGAACAAACTACTTTCACCATAACTCAGGGGGACTGGTGCAGGTTTTTAAAGTGCGACCGCATGTGTGCTTTTGTAAAAGAGATTGACACAAAGAGAAATAATAAAACAGAAGTGTGTGTGGTCCAACAAGCTGATGTTCCCCTCGCTGGGTGAACTTTTGCTCTCCTTCAAGCCGGTACACAGCTGCAGGAGATGTTCCACAAGCACTGGTTAGTAAGGCTAGAAATTTGGGTGAGGGGTATGCGTGTGTGCGTGTGTGCGTGTGTGTGTGTGTGTGTGTGCGTGCGCGCGCAAGACAGTGGACAAAGCTGAGAGGTTATATGAGGAGTGTGATGCGTGAGGAGAGAGAGAAGCTCAGGTCACTCACCATCAGGCACCTGCACCTCTCTGTAGCGAATCAGCTGGCTGGGGAGGAGGGGCTTGGTGTGAGCATGCTCAATCAGAGTATCCTCCACCATCTGCATCATACTGAGAGCAGACTATAGACAGAGAAGAGACAGACATACAAACACAAAGGAAAAAAAAATAAATAAAATCACAACCTGTTCATTACTTTTGCATCCATGTAACTGACCACACATTCAAATCACTTTTTTTTGGCCAATAACCCTTTATCAGTTCGACTTTCACAGTCTGTTTGTCAGTTTACAATTCAGTGAAATAAGACATACCATATTAGGGATACATTGATATAACAACTGTGGGCCAAAGCTAATTATTTTTCATGTACATATCTGCCACTGCTGTTATTACTGCTGATACATGAAAATGTAGAAAACGTAGATATTATTTTCTAAGATTTTAAGCAAATATCAGCTGATACTGATATGATTCCAATGATTATTGTGCATCTCTACACCATGCGTAAACCAATCCATTAATAGCCCTAAAAATACAACACATTTCTATGAGAAGCACTACAAACTTTAATACTTGTGGAGCATAATATGACTCAATATGCTTCCCAGGAGACACACACAGACTTTCTTCCAGCTGAGCTCTGATAAGTGATTTCATCAGCAGATCCAATGAAAGGCTCAAAGTTGTTGGCTCTATTGACAGCTAGAGGACATAACAGCGATTCAGCAGGACGCTTCGCTTTCATTTATTTATACAGATCAGGGGTCAAAGCGTGTCAGCTAAATATGTGGAGACCTTTAGCAATGCACAGAAAATGCTGTCTCATTCTACTTGCTTACTCTCACTTTCTCTGTCTCTCTCCCTCTCATACTCCAAATCAACCCTCAACCACCTTTATCCTCTTCAAAACAAACCTGTTTGGTGATGTTACCATGCAGCAGGGCTTCAATGTGTAACCGTGACAACAGCTGAGGTATGAAGGCCTTGAGGCGGGGCAGGGTGACATCTGAAATGGATTCAGACATAAATAATCAACCACAGAGGTATTCACAGCCATTATCGAGACAAAGCAGACACACAGGTTGTCAACACTGTCTTACACAAAACAACCAAACTTAATACCAATCAGACAAAACTCTCTCCTTCCATGCAATAATTCACAACGGCATATACACGCAGACACTGCTCGGAACGGCCACTCTAAATTCACAGAGCGTCTGACCCAGATTCAGAAAGAGCAGAATGACAGAGGTAGCATGGGATGAGCTATCAGGAGAGGAAGAATGCAAAAAAAAAATGGAAAGAATAAAAGAGAGAACATATACAGGCACAAAGCAGTATTAAAAAAAACTGAATGCAAGAAAAAAAAAAAAAAGACAGAGAGAAAGACAGAAAGAATGAAGGACAGGAAAAGGAAAGAGATTTGATCCTGACTAACAGGATCCTGAGTTAGACAACAGGAGAACATTTCTGGCACAGTAAAGTGAAGGATGAGAGATGAGCAGACAAGCAAAATCACAGATAAAAACAATATTGCACAATATCTCACAATACGACATCAAGATGAAGACAAAGGGCACACTGAACGCCCTGCAATGCTCCTGATTTGAACACTGATAAAGGCATTTTGTACAACTAACACAGTAAGTAAAATGTTCGAGTGTGTGAAAAAGAAACAATGTCTCATTTTTACAACTAAAGACTTGCTAAGAGCTTATTTTTACAACTAAGAGCTAAAGCTTTAATCCTCTACGCCATAGGCCACAGTTAGGTTTAAGTGTTTAATTACAGTTTAAGTTCAGAGTCTGGTTAGTTACATTAAAGGCCTTTACAAACCAAGCTTGACTTATTTGTGTGATTTTTTCAGACATCAGTAAGTTAATTTGATCCTCTCTATACTGGATGATATCTTGCATTTTAAACATGAATTATGCCATCAAAAAGGTAAACATCGGCTTGCACACACACTTCTGTTTTTTTTATTGCTCTTTTTCAGCATAATTAAATAGTTAAGTGGTCTGATGTGAAATGATCCATTCTAGAGAAACTTGAGAGTCAGAGTCAGAATTGGTCACAGTGGCGGTGATAGGAACCAGACGTCTGAGTTTAATGCCTCTAAGAGGTCATCAAACAAAATACACTACCTTTTGCCTGAGATGTTGTTTTACAATTGCTTTGAAATAAGATTCTGGCTTAAAACATATTTTTAAAAATACATTAATGTTGGAGAGGTACATGCAGGGTGTTGTAAGACAAAACAGTCCACAAAGATAATTCATCTTTTTCAGATTAACCACTATTTGACCTACACATAAAACCTCAGAAAACACATGTAGCTTCACTGCTCATTTTGCATGGAAAATTAAATATTTGCATTGTAGTCATTGCAACCCCTTATTCCCACCACCACCACTGTAAAGAAATCTGATTTGGTAAGTTTCTCTAGAACAAAGCATTTCATGTCAAACCACTCTGAAAGACTTTATTTACACTTCAACCTCTGAACTGTGCTGAAACTTCAAAAATTGATGGAATTCCCCTTTATCTCATACCTTATCATTCTTATTATTAACTGCAGTCATCCTCATCAGTTTAGTAGAATGGGTGTTTGTGTATTTCTCACCATCCAGTGCTTCCTTGAGCTCGTCTTTGGTCCAGGCCACCTCAGTCATGAGCAGACGCAGGTAGTACATGGCATGCTGGTGAGGCTGCTCCGCTCGGAAATTATTCAGAGATCTCATATACTGCAATCAGTCCAAATAAGATCCAATCAAACTATTGCAAATATAAGTATATTTAAAATCAATTACTGCTACGAAATATTTCACTTTCTGCCAAAACGAGTAAGCACTCATCCTAGACTATGTATGCTTGCTAATCCAAAAGACACACGTTCCTCATCTTGATAACATACTGCTCCAAATGAGATAAAAGGTTAGAGACCAAAATTAAACCTGACTGTTATATAAATAATACGTTTGACACCAAGTCTAACTCCATATGTTTGTGTCCAACCTCCGAAGGAGTCCAATACTCAGAGTCAAATTAAAGGCTGCAGGGTCTTCCACCAAAAGAACTCTGTGCTTATAGCTACACTTCACTATTGCCAGTTGCATTGCTCCTGGAGATATGACTGGTCTCCTCTTAAATCATCTGCTCAGATATTACAACTATATGGCCAATATTATACGTGAGGACAAGCTCAAGGAAAATGTCATGCTAAAACATTCAGCAGCACCCAAACCTAGTCTTGTCTAGGGCTGGGTATCAAAATTCAATACCTTTATGGTACAGACAGAATTGCTGTGGAGTACTGAAAGATTCCATGTCATTCAATACCAAATTTCAATACCTAAGCAGTCAGTCTCATCAGCATCTGTAAGCCAATAAGCAAGTGTGTTGCAAAACCTACACAGCTGATATCCTGCCTATACTACATTTGGGATGTATTTTAGTAACAACAGTGCTCCTTAAATAGTCTGCAGTTTGTGATCAGTAAATATACCCACTTTTAGCACATCAAACCCATTTCTGGTTTAAGTCACACCCATTTCAGGTTTGTTATTTACAAGAAGGAATCAAAAATATCCCTCAGGAATCAGCATCAAAATCAAGTTATTAGTATCGAAACATTTGGAACAATATCCAGCCATAGTCTTCTTAGCTATAAAATTAGGCATAGTGAAACGAGAGGTGTGTGGCCAGCTGCTAAGATCAAGCTCTGCTGTACGTCAGAGATGCCAGCTCAGAGTGAAAAAGAAAGGAGACAGAAAGAGAGAGACTGTGTGTTTGTATGCTGCTCACCGCCTCCTTGATGATGTCAAAGCGTTTCTCATCAATCTCAAACGTGGCCATTTTCTCAATGATCTTCTTGAGCAGGATGTGTTGTTTGTCATTATAGCCCTTAACTGAGAGCTGAGGGAGAAACAAAGAGTCAGTGCGTCAGCAGTGAAGTGAGAGACCAAAATAAAGTGCTTTTTGTGTGCTTGAGTAAAGTTAAAAAGGCAGATCTCAGCCAAGCCCTGAGGGATGAATACTGCGAGTGCTGATCTAAACCTAGTGTGACTCCTGACAGCCTCCCAAAACACCGCATTCTGCCACAAGTTCGACAAAATCAATTTCTTCAGCAAAACGTCAATCACGCTCAGACGCAGGCATTCACCTGAGAAGTGTGGATAAGCTTTACTGAATGAGCCTCAAACAGCTCCTGAGGGAAAGCAGTTATTTTTTACGCACCCTACACCAACGCATCTTCATTTCCCTCCCCACCTGCACACAAGTGTCTTTCTAGTCAAAAACAACAGGAACTCTTCCTCATTTAATAACTCCAAACTTTTTACTAACAGTAAACCAATCAAACCCCATTACATTTAATATTCAATCGTTCTCCAACCGTAAAATTGTGAAGCTAAGCTTTTATAAGCAGACCAGTACATGATGTATGCAACAGTTACGAGTGGCATTGAAAGACATTTACAGTGCCCAACTCTGACCACAGCTGCAATTTTATTAACATGGTTTGCATGAACATTTCACACATGCAGTGTTAGAGTGTGTTAGAGTGACAAGTCAATTAGGGATGCACCTTAATACTGGGACACGCAGTGTCTGATGCTTCTTTCACAAAAAAACAAAACAAACACATCACGATAAGGCCTAATTAGCCCGGACAAGGAGACTGCCTTTGATGACCATTATTAATAACGTAACAATGTCAAAGAAAATGCAGATATAAATTAAATCCCTTGAATCCAGATTTTTTGTCTTGGGGCCAAAATACATGTTTGAGGTGGGCTGAGGGCCAAAAAAAGACGGAAAAAAAAAAAAGGAGCTAGGTAAGTTTCAAATTGACTTTTTTTTAAATCAAATTTTATAACATTACACTACAGTTAGTTACTAAAAATACAATTTGAAAAGGAAAGAAAGAACTGAAAAACTATATACACAGTCATATACGAAAGTGTGTAAGCCCCTGGCCAAAATCCTCTACAGAGAACACACTTCTGCACATTGTAACATGCAACTACTGTATATTTGCTTAATTAAACAAATTGGTAAAACATTTAAATAGAAAATGTGCCTGTACAAAAGTTCATGGTCATATTTAATGGTTTATTTGTTGAGTTCAAGAAGGGGGAAAAAATAAACAGAAATTGTGTACTAAAATTTGTATTCTGTTTGTTCTCTGCAGGGGATGTATTAACTTTTTTAAATGAACAGAAAGGATGCTAAAATCCACATGGAAATTTCAGCCCAGAATATTCATCAGTGCATCCCCAACACCTGCCTACACAAAGAAATTACACCAAACTTAGTGTGTCCTGCAGTTAGCGGCTCACGTCAGTGGGACAATAAGTACAAGAAGATTAATTACCATTTTACAGTCACACCCACTACGTTCTAAAGACTGACCACCATCCATTATCGACTGCAAGACAAGTCAAATTATTCAGACTGATATTAAACCGCATTGCGTAAGTGCACTGGAGTAGGTATAATCCAGGCATAATCCAAATGAAATAATTTGCTAATCAGGTCTGCGCAAAACCTTCATGTAAAATTGAGATTAATAAGTACTGGTGATTTGCACCCAGCAGTAGTTTCAAAATGTTTCTCAATGTGACAAAGCTCCATTCTGCAAGCAAATCCAATTCCAAAAAAGGTAAAATGCAAAAGAAAACACACAGCAGTGAAGCATAGAGTTTTTTCAGGTATTTAACTGAAAACATCACAAAGAAGAGATATTTAATATTTTATCTCATCAATTATTGATTTTTGTAGATATATACCAATACCAAATTTGATGCTTACAACACATTTCTAAAAAGTTGGGACAGGGTCAGAGTAAGACTGGGGAGTTTGTGGAATAAATCACAAAACATGTTTTGCAAGTGCCGACATGTAAACAGGTGAATAGCTAACAGGTGATGCTATCATGATTTAGTATAAAAGGCACAATCAAGTGAGGCTCAGTCACTACTTTACAAAAAAACTGTGTTCTTAAACCGCACAATTGTTTGCACCTTCGTGCTCGAGTGTGCGTAGATTCTGTTCTTACTCAAGAACAAATCTCAAATAAGAAAACATTGGTGAATGTCAGAATCTTCATGAAGTGTGTTTTAAAAAGTATTTTTTTCAAAGGAAGGCCCAAAGTTTCTGAATGCACGACTGTAAGGAATTTCAGCATCTACAGTCCATAACGTTATTAAAAGATTCAGAGAATCCTAAGAAACCTCTGCGAGAAAAGGGCAAGGCCAAAACAAGTATCGAAAACCTGCGACTTTCAACTCCTCAGTAGGCACTGCTTAAATACAGACATATTTCTGTAATGAATTTGACCACATGGGCTTGGGAATACTTCCTTTGTCAGTAAACACAGCTCGTAGCTGCATCTACAAACACAAGTTAGAACTTTACTACACCGCAAAGTGGAAGCCATATGTCAACAACATCTAGAAACACTGCCAACTTCTCAGGGCTAAAGCTCATCTAAGATGGACTGACACAAAGAGGCAACATGTGCTGTGGTCTGATGAATCCACTTTTCTAATTGTTTTTGGAAATAATGAACGTCACATTCTTTGGGCCAAAGAGGAAAAGGACCATCCCAACTGTTGCCAATGCAAAGTTCAAAAGCCAGTGTCTGTCATGGTGTGGGGGGTGCGTTAGTGCATCTGTGACGGCATCATTAACGCTGAAGGGTACATGCGCATTTTGGAGCAACATATGCTGCCATCTAGATGACGTCTTTTTCCAGGGACCTCCCCTGCTTGTTTCCACAAGACAATGCCATACCACATTTTGCAACGGAGCTTCACAGAAAGAGAACGCAAGTGCTTGACTGGCCTGCATGCAGTCCAGACCTGTCACCCCATTGAGAGAATGTGGTACATTATGAAGTGCAATATACGACAACAGAAAGCCAAGACTGTTGTGCAACTTAAGTGTTCTATAAAGCAAGTAAATTTTTTTTAAAAATACAACAATTGGTATCCCTAACTCCCAAATGATTACTAAACACTGTTAAAAGTAAAGGTGATGTAAGAGTGGTAAAAATGGTCCTGTCCCAACTTTTTTAAAACCTGTTGCAATTTTAAATTTAACAATTGTAAATTCATAATTAGCATAAACAAACAAAGTTAATTAGTTGAAACATTAAATATCTTGCCTTTGTATCTTTTTTTGGTTCAATACAGATCATACCAGTTTTCAAACCATCTTATTTACATTTTTCCTCCTGTCACAACTTTTTTGGAATTGAGTTCGTATTTATCAAGTGAGTGGTTGGTCATGTTGCTGGTGGGTGTGCATCTATAAAATGTGTAATGCCCAACTCCTGTCAGTGTCTGCCAAGTTGTCTTTAACTTCCCACACCTATCATTATGTATCAGGTTATAAAAACGGACAAACAAAAACAGAAGTCTGTGAGCAAAGCAGCAACCTCACTGAGTGAGGCTGAACTTTTCAACTTGGGCAGAAGGTTGATTCACACTTTTTGTATTGTTAAAGAAGAAAGACATAGCAGAAAAGTTGGAAAACAAGCCAATCCAGCACACTCTCAAGCCTCAAGCTCCTTGTGCCTGCTTCCACTCAGAAAGGGGAATGGGCTAGTTAAAGTGCCATACTTACGATAATGGCATTCATTGCTGAGGCTATGCCATAGGTCAGCCCTGCCAGTCGGGCTGCATAAGTATACTCTTTTAAATCATCCTTCAACAATCTGAGAAACAGGTAGGTCATGTTGCAGTGGAGGGGGTCTGCATATAGGTAGCGACTACCACAGAAACAAGGGAAAAAGATTGTATGGTGGAAAAAGGTAACTTAAAACAGTCAAAACCGATAGCATGAAGCACAGGGAATGGAGGGAGGAACACAGACACGCGGGGAACAGAGAGAGAACATCTAAAAGAGTATGTATATGCAGCCTCAACACTGGCAGGCCAACAAGGGCTAATGCAGCAACTATTATCATAATAAATTGTAGGAGGTCATTACTGAAGCAACCCCTCTCTTTCAAACATCACAAAAGTCCTGTTCTTTATCAACCAAAACCTTTATCTATAAATATTGGACGCAAGTCAGATCCAAAACAAGTGCAAACTATTATCCACCCTTTGGGGCATATCTTTGTCAGAAGTGTGAAGGAAGCGGACTACGTTAAATTCAAAGTGCTGGGCAATGAAGTGAAGGCAGCAAGGCCATTAGGGTGGGATGATGCAAAATGTGAACGACAAGAGTTATTTGGATACTTACATACATCCCATAGATGGTATTTTGGAGGTCATAGTTCAAGCCAGCTAGTTCAGCTGCATATGCATACTCGTTGAGGGAGTCCTTGAGGAGCTCAAGGTACAAATAGGCCATGTTACAATGCAACGGGTCCACGTAAGCAAAGGGGCTGTGGAGAAAACAGTAGTGATCAACCCAAACATCTTAGTTTCACAAATATTTGGGCTCCAACTGACGTTTATGTGAAAATATCTGAATACAATGTAGTAATTCAAGCCATTTTCAAGACATCCCACCAAAATATATTGATAGCCAACCAAGCAGATTTTATCCCATTCTAATAATATCCAATTAGTTCCATTTTAACAAATTCCAACAAAAAAATTTCATATTTTTTTTTACAAGGGCACACAGTGCATCAATTTTGTCCCTGTGGCCATTTCCATGACTTAAACCTTTACTTTAGCCACGTTCATGCTTCATATCAAAAAAACAAAAATGTAATATTTAAAAAAATGTTTTAAATGTTTTACATTCACTTATTTGATGCTTTATTTGAATTCCCAACAAACGTCATGATGGTGAGTTTGCATATGCGTATACTGAAATAACAACCCTCACCCCATATTCTGAGGATACCTTTAGAACAACGAGGGCTTATTCAAATTTTATCATTTTAATTTATTATTCAATTGTCTTTTGTTTACTTATTCAATTTCATTGTGTTATTATTTTACTTATTTATTTATTTATTACTTTAAAAAGGGTAACAATGTATAAGAAATTACTAGTCTGCATTAAAACTGCATTAAAAAGCTAATCATGCAAATATCCACAGAGCAGAAAAAAAGCATAATTCAGTGAATGAGCCCCTTACAGAGGCCAACAGCAGTGTTTCTCCATCTCCATCATCCAAACTAAACACAAAACATTAACTGGGTAATTTTGATTTCACAGTCAGAAAAAGACATTTAAAGATCCCAGCTGTCCTCCCTTTAGAAATGAATGAAGATATAGCATTTAGCAGTGCATCAAATGGTCTAGCAAGTCGCAAAAAGTGGAAAGAAAAAAAAATAACTAGTGCAAATGAGTATAAATAACGTCTATATATAAATAACGTCTACATATAAATGACGTTTGAAGCTTGAAAAACCACCTGAGATCCATCATGAGAGCTTACCTGAAGAACTCAAAGTTCAGACAGGCTTTGGGCAGGAAGAATTTGTCATCCTGCTTGAACCACACTTTACTCATCGCCGTGTCCTACAGAGAGAGTTCAAACAGTTTCATTTGCATTCCACACAGAAAAACAAAAAGCACAGAACTTCACTCAACACTTCTCAGCTTCCTTTGAACTCATTTAAAAGCGTTAACAGAGTTTAAATGAAAGTGAAGAGTGCAGATGCTCAAGGGAGTTTCAGCCGCTAGTCACATGACAGTTTCGAGCTCAGATCACTTTAGGTAGCTCTATCAGTTCTGACTGCAATTAAATACACACAGAGTCGTGTGTGCATGTTAGAATAAAACTGTTTACCATAATAATGGTTCAGCGTGGAGCTTGTTTAAAAGACACACCTTGATCAGCGTGGGATAGGACGGAGAGTCCTTCTCGAGCGGATAAATCTCAAAGTTGGTAGGGATGAACTCATTCCTCATGGGGAGTTTGAACTTGCCATTCAAGTCAGCGTTTTGCCATTTCTGAAACACACGTTAACAGTAGTTACATCTTGAAAAATTCCAGAATGGAAGAAGCATGACAGACATGACAAGGTTATTCCAGTTCATACATGGATTTAATAAGATCACAGCTGCATATTAATGACTTCACAAGAATGTACAGACAACTGAAAATGCTCAAATGTGCTGTGAAGTACAACACTTCCTTATTCAGACAGAACCTCAAAGTGGTATATGAGTTTCTAGCGTAAATCTGTCGCTATGATACCTTTTTCTATTGACATAAAACCAAATTAATCTTGCTGTTCAGCTACAATAGTTTGTGTTCAACTGTGCTGGTCGACTGCAAAGTTCTAAGAAAAACACGAGATGAAACTTCACACCCACAAACATGAAAATGTAGGTCTTTTCCTAGAAAAAGGTTTTCAGACTCTAACTCTTAAAGGCTCTATACAGTTTATTTATTCTCTAAATCATTCGCAAGCCCATGTGGTTAGATTCAATCATTTCCCCGGATTCTCAAAATCCTTTAATAAAATGTTATTAAAAGTAGATGGTATATACGACATTAGTCTGAACAGATCACACTCTTAAACTGGCCCGCATGAGCAAAAGAACAGTGCCTCCTGTTGCTTCTCGTGGTGCACTCTTCCAGAGGTAAAAAATCATGACTGCCAACGAACGGCTGTCGCTCCCAGAGCTTTCAGTTTCTTCGCCAGCATCACAGGAGCGATCATGAAGCTTCACTGACCAATAACTGGGCTCATCACCCAGAATGTCTTCGAGCTCGCCGAAAAAAAAGGCATGGTCACTTCTTTGGTTCATTTCCTCAGATTCTTTAAACTTTGCTTTCAGACTTTTAACTGTTCTTTGACACTGCAGCCTTGGTCTCCTATGGCCACTTTCAGCCATTTCTTTCAAAATCTCTTCAAACGCTTAGGGGTTTTGGATAAATCTCTTCTAATTTTTTGTACAGAAACATCACCCCAAATGCTGAGGTCTCAGCAGCGTGAAATTATGAAGAACGTCGAGTTGGACTGACGTAAAAGCTGTTCAGACTGACTCGGGCTGCCACATATCAGATTTCTGTAGGGGTGGGAATCTTTAGGCACCTCACGATTCGATTACGATTCAGAGGGCTGCGATGCAATTATAAAACGATTATCGATGCATCTTTTTTCTCTATAAAGGATTTCCATCTTCCTACTGTCTGAGGACTTGGTAGTTTTAAAGCAAAGTATTTATAATGATCCATAATGTAAATGCATTATGGATCATTACAAATACTTTGCTTTACATATTTAAAATATCTTTTATTAATAAATCAAATGGAGGTGATGTGGCAAGTGAACTAGAAGTATCTCATTCAGAGACGCTGCTGCCACTCATCTGCGATAAAATGCGACCCTGAAATAAGATCCAGTGGTAATGGGTGTCCACACAGCACGTTACAGCCAACCTTCCCGTTTTCTTTAGTGATTTTATAACTTCGGTTTTGGTCTTGTTGTAGAGAGTGTGGGAGTTGTGTATTTTCGAGACTGGACACTGAATCTAAGCTCCAAAGTGTGCAGCATAGCGCGAAAGCCCTGGTTCTCAACGACTGAGAACAGACAGCAGACAGCAGGTCACATAGCACCGAAGTCTGGCCTCGCCAGTAGCGAACGAAAAAACAGATATTAAGACGAACATTTGGAGGACTTATTCGCATTTATAAGCAGCGCGGTTGGTTAAATCTGCAATGAATTTAAGGTGAAACGGGAAAATTAGAACGAGAAGCGAATGAAAAGTGACTTCAGCCTCATAAAACAGCCAGATGCTGAGACATTTTACAAGAAAAGTTTTCCAGCAGAGATGGAAGGAAAGCGGCTATAGCTAAAGCTTAAAGCAGAGCTAAGTGAATCTGCGCTCTTGTTTATGTTTTTAGCCCATACTAGGACATCAGCACACACTGAAACATACTGGACATTAAATGTTGTGGCTCCCAAGGTGGTCTGACTTTGTTGAAAGGACAAAACGGCTCTTCTTAACATTTGGGTTGTGACTCCTGATCTAACCTGGCTTTAATGCAGAGGGAGCTGGTCGGATTTCTCACTCATCCAGTTGTGTTTTTGTTATGTGCCGCCACAGACTGTCCGGGCGCTGCACTTACCCACTTCCAGTTCCGCCTTTTGCGTTCCGTCAACATTACGTTATAAATTAAATATTTAGAAAATCAATTTTTGACATTTATGAATCGATTCAGAATTGTTCACGTCAACATCGCGATGCATCTAAGAATCGAGTTTTTCCCGCACCCCTAGATTTCAGTACCACATATCAAAGCATCTTACATCGAAAATGAAAATGTCAGATTCAGGGTATTTTTTGCTGTTCACATTGCCAAACAGATGACATATCTGTGTCACATATGAAGAAAAAGATCGGATTTGGGCCACTTTTACCTGCTGCGTGAACGTAGCCAAAAAGCCGAAAAAAAGAAATGAGTTGATATAGTTCTGATTCTCCTCATAATTTAGCCAGTGCCTCAGCAGTAGAAGGATCAGAGGACGAACTGGCAGCTTGATTGAGCTAGCTTGCAATTTGAGAGAAGAGCAGCTCACCTTGATGACCTCATCAGAGATAGATTCCTGTTTGTACTGTGTTCCGTACCACTCTTCTGTCTTGTCAGTCTGTCCTTCAAATGACTTGGAGACGACAGCGACCCTGAAGAGAAACAGGAATAGACCGGCATCAATACCTGTACTACAATCAGACCCCTCTCAGTTTACAGACACTGACATGTCCCATCTTTCACTGCCTCTCTGGGGAAAGCCACACTGCAGAAATTCTGCTTTTAGCAAATCTACTCTATAGTAAATGGCTTTCAAAATGAGGATGATTGTATTATACGTGGAGAGCTTGGGTTTCTAATGAACCTTCAATCTGGTGCACCAGAACAGGGATCGATGTTCTGTATCTGGACAAAAATGCACCTGAGCAATCTAGGCTTCTCTGATCGATGGAGGACTTTCAGAACAATGACCTGCTATTCTGAGTCACCAGCATCAATCAATTGCATAACAAAGCCTAAAATAGTCACAGTCAGCAGTCAGAGTCTGGGCGAATATAAGCTGAATCCAAGCACTAACTCAAATCTCCTCTACTACCAAAGTGAAAATGAAGTGCAAAGGCCCTAAAATTTTAAAGTGAACTTAATCCCGCAAAGCTGAAAGGGGTGCGGTGAATAACTGTGACCAGATGACCTGCCAGGCTGTCAGTCCCACAGCTATTAGCATGGTTTTCCACCGCTGTGCTACTTTCACAAGACCTGGACCTTTGTGCAGCAAATCATAATAAACTAGATCAGCTTTCAGTGAACATGGCTGCTAAACCAATTCAGTGGCCTGGACCACTCATTTATACCCATGCGGCAGTCTGCCGATCCACTTAAGTGGATTTCCAGAGAAGCTCTCTTTTCATCACCTTCTGCCTCCGAACTAAACTCCAAGACACTGTGCTTCCATCACAAACCCTGACACCGAAAGAGTTGCCCACCAGATGCTGTAAGTGGATGCATACACCAGCCTGGTAATCACAGCCAATGAGACATGAGAAGATGGCTGTGATTATTACCAGGCTGGTGGATGCATTAAGGCAGGTCAGGCCTTTCTTTACCAAACATTTGTGAGGTTGCAGTGTCTCTTAGGGCGCTTTCACCCACCTCCCCCAACGGATCGGTACATTTGGTTGAGTGCGAAAGCTGTCCAGAGAATCACTCCCTGGCGCTCCTGAAAATGGTGGTTTGTGGTTCAGTTTTGGCAAACCATGGTGTGATTTGCAGCATATGGCAAAACTATCTGTTCTTGGCACTGCATGTTGAGTAACACAATTGGTTCATTTTGTTTCAAATTTTTGTAATGGCGGGAAAGAACAGAAGACATAAAATGATGAGTCTTTATATTCAAAGTACTGCCAAAGAATGCACTTCCTGTGCTGTCGTGCTTGGCTAAAAGTCTTTCCAATAGAGAATGGCTCTTCATTTGCAGCTTTCCTGCCCATTGACATGGCACACAACAAATAATTGCTGTTTATCATTTACAGCATTGCTCAGATGCCCTTATACAAAGCAACCTCAATTTAACCATGTTACAGATGTAAGCATTGTTAGGAGTCTTGCCTAAAGACTCGTATTGGTATAAAGCGATGTAACCGCCCAAGTGGGAAATCGAACACAGGTGCGTCGCATGTGATAATGAGCCCCTTCCCTCAAACGAGCACAGAATCTGTCCTAGGTGCAGACCCAGCATATTGGGGACAAGTGTGAAAACGTACAGTTTGTTTTGATGTACATCACAAATAAGATACTGGGACTCCTAAGCATGACAACCACAGCAGGCTCCAATGTGAAACCCAACTGACTACAACATGAAATCTGTTGATGTCTCGCCCTTGGATGGAAGAAGGCAAAGATAACATGGCCTGGGGGGTATGAACCAATTCTGACAGCGGAGCAATTCTCTTTTGAAGCTACAGAGGAAATTGAATTCGCAAGGCTCTCTCACATTCCAGAGAATTTGGATGAGAAAAGGTGCTTCTTTTCCAAACACACACAGTAGCACAATCCCACAGTCTCAGAGAGTACACTTCAAAACCAGATGATAAGGCAGTAACCAGCCACAGTCCTGTTTTGCCCTAAGCAGCATGGCAAAAAAATTAAAAAAATAAAAAAGCATACTGATATTCAGAGTGAAAGAGCTCATACGTGAAGATACTTCTTTGAAGAAAGGCAAGGCATTTATCCCAAGTCTGGGCAAAGCCAATCGCCTCTAAGAGGCAGGAATAACTCTGCCTGACCCATTCTGAGGTCATGAATTGTGTCTAGGAAATATTCTCATATTTTAAAATATGTGCATGCATGGTTCCAACAGTGGGGCTGAAAGTTGAGGCTTCAGTGGGGTACATTTGAGATGGCAGCGGATCATCTGAGGTACAGCTGGGGAATATGTGGGGCTACATTTGCTCAGTGAAGTTGTAAAGAAAGATACATATACAGAAATAAATGTTTTTGTAGTGATTCAGTGGTGTTAAGAAGAAGAAAAATGAATCACAGACAGGCAGACTGAGGTAGTGTGCAAGCACATATATATATTTGACTAACCTGACATTCTCTGGTCTCAGCTTATCCAGCACCATCTCTATAAGGTCTGGTCTGAAATCCTCCAACATGTACTCTGCTGCAAGAATCTCCTCCAGTGGATAGTACTAGAAAATAAACATGTCAAATTTGACAAGCACTGAGGATTTTATTTTATTTTATATATATATATATATATATATATATATATATATATATATATATATATATATATATATAAACATTGCCAAGACCAGTTAAAACCTGAAAAGGTTGCAAACAAATTAGCTGTGATATGAGGTGCTAATTCATGCAAGACATCCATCATAACTCATCATCTGTACACTCCCCTGACAAAGAACATTTCTTCAATCTGCAGGCAGTGGGCAGATGACATCAGTAGCTGACTGGATAAGCACATGTAGTCATGGTGATGACCTTTCAAGTTGGAGTGGAGAGAGAGAACCTACATGCAACAGTCCAGCCACTTTAGAGGTGTATCCACGCGGACGTTCCTTATCCTTGAATCTGAAGGCTACCGCGTTCAAATCCTGCACAGACGAAACACAAAAGAAACTCACTAACTTTCAACAAGAATGTAGATAACGTTCGCTAGAGTTACTTCATTCATTCAACAGAGTGAGGTTTTAACTTTATTTATGAACTGTTTTTCATGGACAGTTTGCTCATTTTAGCTTGAGGATATAAGATGAGATCAGGTGTCAGATGTGTAAAACACCTAAACCCCTAAAATGGGAAGGTTCATCACTTCAGATCACTGATTGAGATCAGCACAACCAGACCTTAGCTACCATTTTGTTGATAGCTGTAGAACAGTCACACTCTTTATTTCCTGCCTTCCACCCACATATATACCATTCCTATTTGTTTGCACATCTGATTACCAGTTGTCAGTGCAATATAGGAAAATGTTGTTCTTGTGACATGGGGTTACACCTGGATGCCCATTCAGTTTATATTTCACAGCGTTTTATAGTAAATGTTTTATTCCTTTTCATAACTTTAGGAATGTTCATGATTACAACTGATGCTCCTGGGTGATTAATGTGTTTTCAATTAAATAATCTTGATAAATACGCATCTATGTCTACGCCTGGCTGAATTCATTACTCACAAATCTAGCAGCAGCTTGTTGGCTTACCTTACATTCCTGGAAGACCCACTCCTGAGGGCCCTCTGTACACAGCTTCTGGATGTACTGGAACATGTGAAAGATGATGTCTTCTACATGCACTGAAAAAAAATTAAAACAGAGCTCAAGCACAAACAAAGAGTTATTTCAAACAGTCCAAAGGCAGATAACCCTTGTAATAGAGAGACAAGGCATATAAACAAAAACAAGACTAAAAATAACCACTTAAATATTCTCCAATGGTACTTACATAGACCTTCTTCTGTTAAATCCACATTGATAATGAAGAACATGAAACCTCTAGCTCCCTCTTTCTGGCCTCCAACTAAAGTGTTTACCCAGCCTGAAACAGAGATTTGACATTAATCTTTGACATTAAGATGTCACACCTACAGAAATAAAACTGTTTAACTTAAATGTAGACATTTGATATCACAAAACATTAAAAATAGCATCTATACCGTACATGTAAACAAGAGCATTACAGTTTGTGCAATTACATCAACTCAGCATGCCCTCACCTTTAGCTTTCAACTCAGACAGCAGGCTGCCTGGACCTTCATGTCCTATCAGGTGGCCCAGATAATGTCCAGGGTTAGACTTGTAATATTTCTGCAGGTCTGGAATAGGGAAGGTCACATACAGGTTCCTGATGTCCTTAATGGGTACGACCTTGTAAAATTGCTGCAGAAAGACAGAGTACACATATATTTACAACTAATCACTTTAAGACAACATATTTGGAATAGGAAACAGACTTTCTTCGACACTTAAATTCTATTTCAAATAATATCTAACAAAAGCTTCATAAGAATCCACTGTTTGATGCTCGTGCTAGTGCAATACCATTATGTTGCCCAAGTCTCACCCTAAGATGCTCTTCCTGGAAAGGATGCACAGGGAACTCTGGGATAGGCACCGATTTGTTCTCCACCTCTCCAAACAGCTTAACAACCATAGAAGTCAACTCATCCAGAGATTCTGACAAAACACAGGGGACGAAGAACATGATGCAAATCTTTATACCCAATTACAAGTATTTTCTACCATCCTGATTCTCATACACCCGAATGCTTGCAAGAACCTATGAAAAAGACCCATGAGAAGAAAAAAAAAGGATCCAAGTGTCCAAGGTAAAAAAAAATGCCAGTAAAGATTTAAGGTACTCTGTCTGAATGCAAGTTTGTGTCTTTTATTGGCAGAAGCACTAAAAAAACAAAATGTTGTACTAGCTCTTTGTACAAAGAGCTGTGGAAGTCATTCATTATGAGGTCATGCTATCGTAAACAGCTGCCAAATGCCCGTCTCCTCCAGTCCGAGGAACATGTAACATTAAAACAAATGTAAAAGCAACATCATAAAACACATCATGACCACAGATAATGAACAGAGCAGCGTTATTTTTTAACAGTCTGAAATTGATTTAGATAATAATTTAATAAATCAACCTTAGCACAGGAAAGTAGAAAAACCAGAGGCAGAGAGAGATCATTTTAAGGGCAGAATGGGCCCAAACTCATAAAAGTGTACTCTAGAAGATTTCAGGGGACTGTTTGTTTTTGAAACCTGTTTAAGTGTGAAACAGCATGGCTCAGGAGAGAACGAAACAGAAGAGAGACTCTTTCAGAAAGCTGCTTTCAGAAAGCTGCTTTTTTCCACACCAATGAGGCCAGCACAGAAAGAAAATGTTTACAAACAGTTTCTGTCCAGTGGAGGGACTCATTGGTGAAATGTCTGAAGCGGGAAATTTGCCAAAAGCGTTTAAAATCAAGTGCTTGAAAGTGCTAAGTCAAACAAATGAGTTCTCTTGTGTGACCTGTGTGTGCAATTTGCATATGTACCAAAGCATGGAATTAGAATCTTGCTGTCAGGATCAAAACTAATCTGTATGAGATGGAATAAAATTTCACATATTTAAGCATAAGTAACTGCAGTCGGGTAGGGGTATGTGTATGTGTGTGTGTGTGTGTGTGTGTGTGTGTGTGTGTGTGTGTCTGACCTCTCCCCAGAACACAAAGTCCCATCAGGTTCGAAGAATAAAAAGTGGAGTGGAATTTCAGCAGCTCCTGACGAATGTCAATGCCATCTTGTGACGGTCTAGTCTCCAAAGTCAATTTGTTACCTACAAGAAAAAAAAATGCATTTGTTAAACAGTTATACAGAGTTATGCAAATCTTCCTGGAACATCCAGCACTTTCAACTAGAGTTTAGTGTGGCAAGATTTAAGAAAGAAAACCCAGCCAAGCCCAGTTCCTTATGTTCAGTATGCAGGAAAGTGAATTTTGTGAACTGAATTAGTAGTCTCTGATCACGTGCCCAAGCCTTCACTAGGCTGTGTGCTTGTTCTCATGGGCTGTGTGGGGACGCATGGCTCTTTTACCTCACGGTAGAAAAACAAACAGCATCTGGACATCAGACATAAGCTCCATTTCTCACATTTGCCAGCTGGAAGGACTTGTGCATTCTTAGTCTTACTCTGATCTCGGGTCAGTGCAGAACGTCACTGGTTTTCATTAATGCCATTGTAGTCGACCTGAGCAAGGCTATTCTTAGAGCAGATAAGGCTTATATAACCCAAGACTGCCACCAACTGGCTATTCCGGGCTCAGATAAATCTTATGATGGCAAATCACACTAAATTGCTTTGGACATTTTTCCCTAGCGCCTGTTATTTCAGCATTTCAGTGGCCTTCACTGAACAAAGAAGGATACACAGCTCTTAAGAGACCCTGTCAAGCTCTGGCCTACCTTTCAATCACAAAAGGAGATGGGGTGAGGCACAAAAATGCTTGTCTGGCCTAGGTCTGGTTTCTAGAGCACAGATAAATCGTTTTAAATCAAACATTTATGTTTACCTCCACATATACAGTCATTTAAATATGGCATGCAAACTATTGTCATCACAAAGTCCTACAGCAGTCTTTTAGGAAATGGTGCTTTGAGCAAGTAGTATCTTGGGTGTGTTAAACTTATTTAACCTACATTTCCTTGCTGTTCAATGATTTACAAAGCACACCAAAATACACTACTCATGGTCATGCTCAAGACTAAGACTTTGTTCACCAAAGTCAGATAAGGATTCAAAGTGAGTATGACACCTCAGATTCCAGATTTATGAATGTTGAGACTTCTCAGTGAATTTTATTTATGCACTTAGGGTTTCTTATTGCACAAGACAAGGGCATTTCCCTCCTCAACTTGGATTTTCTGTAGCTCAGATACCTGTCCCAAATTTGCTAAATGGGTGATCAGGGTTCCCGGTGGCCTTCTCCAGCTGAAAGAGTCTCCAGGCATCATTCATCAGGTTCTTCTCATGCTCAGAGTCCACAGCATTCACTTCACGGTCCTTACAGCTCTCGTCAAAGAGAGGACACAAGAAGAACTGTGCAAACCTACCCAGAGAACAAATAATGTTTAGTAGTTTTGCTTACTGTTGGCTCAAAAATCATACAGACACTACTGATGTACAGAGGATTTAAGACGCTTATTTATATTTCTGTGAATAACCGGCATTTACTTATTATGGTAAGACTGTTTGCTCAAAAGAGCAAAATATTTAACCAAGATGATTTAGCTTAAGAGTCCATAATGCCAACAATAACATACCTAACAAAAAGTATGTCACCCAATTGGACAAACAAAGAGCCATTATGTACTTAAGCTGCCTAGCGCCCAAAGGAAAAGAAAAAAAAATGGTGCTGTCCAGTTTAGGTGGTAACATCTGCTCTTTTACACATATGTAAAACTACTGGAACAATTGAAGCACAACTCAACTGCCATGCAAATATGGCATGCAAACTGCTGAGTGACTATACAAAGCTGGCAAAACACAATTAGACAGATAAGTATCCCAAGCTGATCAACTGCATCTAGCAGGTCAACACTAACTAGATAATTTAGACATGTACGAATGAAATCTAACCTCTCATTTTGGTCTGACTCAAAAAGTTCCAAGATACTTTCATCCATTAACAAAGCCTGAGCAGTCCTTTGTAAACTGAGGCCTAAATACTTCAATGACTATGAGCAGATGAATGACTGAGGACAAGAGAAAATTGAACTTTTGACCATCAGTTCCTTCCAAAAAGTAACCCCTATTCCCACTATTACTGTCATTTATGGTCAGAAGACCAGATTTCAATCAAATTCAAATAAGAAATACTGTAAAATAAATAATAAATAAATAAAATTTATATATATATATATATATACATATATAAACATATATACGTACATACACACACACACACATATATATATATATACTAGAGCTGGGCGATATGGCCAAAAACGTTATCACGATAAACAAAATTCATATCGTTCGATATCGATACATATCGCGATAAATGTCAAATCATGATTTCTTTCACGTTTGAAGGCTGATTTTGCTCCTGGGTGGTTAATTGTGGTTTTAAACTATCACTTATGGTCCGATCATGACAAACACTCACCAAACAGTGGAACATTTCACTAATCTGCCATGGAAGAGTGGGAGAAGGTTTCTGAGCTGTTTTTATCAGCTTGAAAAGCACAGCTGCAATTTTTGTAATAGTCATGATTTAAGAAAGAAAACAGATTATTTTTAGCTGTCTGGTGACGAGCGCTCGGCTACCCCGTTACAAATGCTAAACAAGTGGCCAACAACAGAGCTAAACTCTTTAGTTTCTCAACAACGTCAACTCGGTTCGGTAGGTCACTGCTGTCACTCCTACCACATCCATGTCAGAGCATATCACAGTATTCAGACACCAGCCAGCGACGGCTGGGTTTCTCTATGCTACCGTAGTAGTTTAAGGGGTGAACCGCAGTATATCTGACGTTCACTGTGTAAAAGCATTATCTGCAGTGTGAATCTCTCACACCAGTCACAGAGTCCTCCTTTTAGCTATGTTTAAACTGAAAGCGGTGATTTTGTGTCGTTTGATCTACCGTATCATCAATTCACTGTGTTGTGCCGGAGCGCTGCTTCAAGTTAGCCAGCAGCTAAAAACAGCTCGCCTGGAAAGATAGCGCTCTCCCGCTCTCCAATGCCTCACAGCTTCCTCAGTTTACTTTCGAACATGAACCCACTTCTTTCTTTCACTTTCGTTGCTCGAGAATGCACTAATACTAAAATATGACGGTTTGGCGCTGTAACACGGCGCTGCAGACCTGATTTAACACCGCTAAAGTTGTTAGGATGTTAGTAAAGAGGTGAGTTCACTGTAGGACAGTACAGTTACGCCACTGACCTCGTCACTCACACTCGGTCACAGGAGAACAGATCGCCGGTCGCTCCACTCAAACAGGGAATGTATAACTCCGCGTTTCAGCCGTTGCTAAAGTATATTTGGTGACCCTTTTTTTTACTCGTGGCCCCCTCCCTCTCTAATCAAGTCGAAAAATTCAGAAGTGCGCCCTCTCCTGGCGACAGCAGAGTAGTGTCGCTTTCCTTGCAGTAGAAAACGCCACCAGGGCTTTCGCTAAAACGTGGAAGTGTGAAAATGGTGTAATATATCGAACATTTATCGAACATGTCTTATCGCTCCATCGAGGAAAAGTTATATCGCAATACTTATCGTTATCGTTTTATCGCCCAGCCCTAATATATACATATATATATATACACACACACACACACACACGGTATTTATATAAATTTTAATTTATTAAAATATATAATTTAGGCCTGTCAATGAGCCAGTATCCCAAGCTATTGAAAATGAAAGTTTTTTTACCCATTTAAAATGCAGTGCACTTTATAATAACTATAAATGGGCAAAAGGAGCTTTATCAGAATGTTTGCACTACTTTGAATAGCTCAATAACATTATTTTTTATCATATGAATGTAGGGTTCACATGAACCTGAACATGAAAATCATCCCGTGACATCCAGTGAGAGCAACACTGGCTGCATGTTCCAACCAAAGAGTCTAAAAATACAGAGCACTTTATTAGGAACACCATAATAATACTGGTCTTCCTTGGCTCTCAAAACAGCCTCAATTCTTCATGGCATGGATTCCACAAGATGTTGGAGACATTCCTTTGAGATTCTGGTCCATGTTGTCATGATCACAACATGCAACTCGGGCAGATTTTTCAGGTGCACTTTCATACTGCGAACCTCCTGTTCTACCACATCCCAAAGATGCTCTATGGGATTCAGATCTGGTGACTGGGAAGGCCACTGAAGAACTCACGATGAGTTCACTGTGAAGTTCGTAAAAACTAGTTTGAGACAACTTTTGCTTTGTGACATGGTGCATTATCATGCTGGAAGTAGCCATCAGAAGACTGTGGCCATAAAGGGATGCACATGGTCAGCAAAAATACTCAGATAGGCTGTGGCAGAGAAGTGATGATTGATTGGTATTGACAGGCTCAGACTGTGCCAAGAAAACACTCCCCACTCGATTACACCACCTCCACCAGCCTGGACTGTTGACACAAGGCAGGTTGGGTCTATGATTCATGCTGTTGGTGTCAAATTCTGACCCTACCATCTGTGTGCCTCACTGTGTGACTTGAGATTCATCAGAACGGGCTGTGTTTTTCCAGCTTTGGTGAGCCTGTGCCCACTGCAGCCTCAGCTTTCTGTTCTTGTCTGACATGGTCTTTTGCTGCTCTCCCTCAAGGTCCAACATGTTGTGCATTCTGAGATGGTTTTCTCTTCACCACAATTGTATGGAGTGGTTATTGTAGCCTTTCTGTCAGCTTAAACCAGTCTGGCCATTCTCTGTTGACCACTCCCATGAAGAAAGCTTTTCCGTCGAGTGAACTGCTGCTCACTGGACATTTTTTCTTCAGCGCACCTTGCAAGTAAACCCTAGAGACTGTTGTGCGTGAAAATCTCAGGAGATCAGCAGTTATAGAAATACTCCAACCAACCTGTCTGGCACCAACAATCATACCACGGTCAAAATCACAGAGATCATATTTTTTACCCTTTCTGATGGTTAATGTGAACATTATCTGTTGCTGCTGACCCATATCTGCATGATTTTATGCACTGCAGTGCTGCCACATAACTGACCGACTAGATAATGGCATAAATGTGTAGGTGTACAGGTGTTCGTAATAAAGTGCTCGGGGAGTGTGTATAACTCCTATGTGATTGCAGCCATCTCGTTCTTGTTCATACGACCTGTGGATTCTTGTTAAAGTGATTTAAAAGCTGTATTTAAACGAGAGGGATACAACCACAGATTCTGTCATAGCAACATACAGCACATGAGCAGTTGGGCTCCAGTCTGCACTACTACAGATGGTTTGAACGCTCAAACTAGGAAAATGCATTAAAAGTAGTGATGTTAATTTACTGGATTAATGTGTTAACACTGACAGCCCTAACATATTAATGCAGATTTATATATTTAATTTGCATACAATTCATTTTGATGTATTATTAAAAAAAAAAATAAAAAAAAATAAAAAAACATTAACAGGTATAGCAAACTGTCTTGACATTACCTAACCAGAGAGCAACATAACTCACACTGGAAGTAATCATATACCACCAGCAAATGACACCTGATCTCCAAACTCTATTCATAGTTTATTCATAGTTTAACAGTTTCACACCTGCTGTCCCTACAGAGACTTTGTGTTTAAAGGTCTTTAATATTTAAACCTCGCACGCCTGCCAGATGACACTTTTCTAATTCAGGTTCTCAATTAAAAGTGAGCCAGCATCACAGTGGTGTTACACACAGTAGACACATGATCTTTACAGATGCACTCTCCCATGGTGACACTTGGAAATGGATTCACAGTTGAGGGAAAATGAAACAGTACATAAATTAATTCAAGGAATTCACCACAGCGGTTTGGAACAAAACAGTTCTTTCGCCCACTCACTCACCTATCCAGCGCCCCCTGCAGGTGCTCATGGGACACGTCGAAGTAGTAGTTGGTGTGCTCTCCGCTGGTGAAGGCGTTGGAGCTACCTGCGTGCTCACTCAAGAACTGACTGTACTCGTTCTCTTTCGGATACTTCTTAGTGCCCAGAAACAGCATGTGTTCACAGAAATGTGCCAAACCAGATATATTCGATGGATCTGACAATGAACCTGGTAAATGAGAGAAAATATTTCTATTTTATTTTTTAATTCAGTGAGTAAATCCTTTTCACAATGTAACCATTCTATTGTCTCAGTAGTAAAATGGCAGAAGTTGTTTTGTGATTTCTTAAGACATGCAGAAATGTATTCTGACTCTACGCAATGTTCAACGTACACACTTTGTCCTAAACGTAAACGTAATCAACTAAGCAATGTGTTTTTCAGCGTGACAGACGGCAGGCCTACACTTTAAAAGTCAACACTAAAATACTGAATAAATGAACATGCTCATATTCTTATATGTATTCAGCTCCACAAACATCACAACCAAAATTTGTCTCAGAAGTCATTACGAGATCAAAGCTGCACTATGTAAGTTTGGTGATTTGAAGACCTCTCTGGTGGAAATGTGTAATCGTACGCCACACGCAGAAGAACATTTTGTAACGTGGGTTGTGCTTCAGACCCCAACGAGCAGATAAAGCTGATGAATGCTCTTTGAGCACACTTGCAATTAAAAAGAACTCACGTTCCTTCTGCGGATACAAGTGAATTATCTACTATTGTCATCATATCTTCATCACTATTACCTTGATTTTGCATTTGAGACCTAAATATCAAGCTGGACATTTTTTTTGTTGTGTGACGACAAATAAAAAAATAAATTATTAAAATAAAAAACGTCCTACAACTTCAAATTTCTTTGAATTTAAACTTGCCCCTTTAAACTTGTCACAGATCCTTATCAGTTAAAACTTACAGCTGTAAAAAGTTACAGCTAAGCAAGTTTTCAACAAGAGAGTAAAAGTGGGGAATGAGGGCAAAGAAAGTAGGTCTTATTGACAGTGTGAAGATGCAGTGTTATCTGCTAATCCTCTTCTGAGCTACTCATGTCTAGTGACACGCTGCACCTTCTTAACCTTCTGAAGGTACCCTACTTCTCTGACCGGCAGACATTAATGACAAATCAGTGCATGTAAAACGACTTCTTGAACAAGTATGTCTGATATTTTTCGCATACCATTAATGCCAATGCCAATACATAAATGTAAAATGTAGAAATTGGGACTAAATCCACTTGAATCAACCTTACAGAGAAATGTAACATTTATGTGAAGGTTTGAACGCAGTAACATGAATAAAGTGTAGACATTTTAGTTTAGCAGTCCAGTGTTGTGATCTTCCAAAATACAGATAAATGCATCAGCAAATATCAGTCACATCAAAGTTTATCTATATAGCGCTTTTTACAGGAGGCATTGTCACAAAGCAGCTTTATAGAAAATCTGGGCCCAAGCCCCCATGAGCAAGCCAATTTAGACAGGGGCAAGGAAAAACTCCCTAACAGCAAGCGGAAGAAATCTTGAGAGGAACCAAGACTCAAAAAGGGCACCTACCCTCCTCTGGTCAACACCAGATAGTAAAACAATCAGTCTGACATATCAGTGATATATAAACTGATGCTCTCACAATTCTTTTTAACAAGTATCTGCCAAAACAGATATGATTCTGGTATCATCCCTAGTTAACAATAAAATGAAATTTAACTTGGCCTGTTGAATGCTTTGCTAAAGTTACAGTGTGGCCCCACCACACCTGTGGAATCAAAATGGTACCAACAGATCTGAATGAGTAGGTCAACCACTGCAACATAAAGAGATTACAAATGCAGACAGGGACAGAGGACAGCAGCCAATGCTTTAGGCCTAGGGATAAATGAGTTGCTCTCTTTCAAAGGGTGCACGAAAACAGGGACAGGAGAAAGACAAAAGGTATATTTCAGGTTCAATATCCTCAAATCCCAAAATCTGACAAATACAGATGCAAAATTGATCAAATATCAGAGACTGTAAAATAACATGCACTGTACTACTGTATAATATTTTATTATATATCAACTAACTATACATACATACATACATACATATATATATATATATATATATACACACACACACACACACACACACACACACACATACACTTGAAAAAAAAGGCATGTTATGAAAAAGAGTGAAGGGCATTTAAGGCCAATATTGCATCTAATACTTAAAGACTTATGATAAGAGGCTTTTCTCCTTTACCTATGTGGACATCAAGCGCAGCTGATGATTTGTCTGTGGTGGGGTCACTGATAAGAATCGCTTTCAGGCCATTGGTAAACTCCAGTCCTCTGTACTCACGCTTGTCTTCTGGAGAGCGAATGATGTTACTCACCACCCTGTTCACTGCTGGGTCACTCATTTCGAGGTTTGAAACAACTCTGACAAAAGAAGACATTATCACCATTACAACATGTTTCCATTATCACATTTCTGTCATCATCAGTTTTAAGTTGTAATAAGCATTTCAGACTATTTTTATAGAGCACTACTAGTGGAAGCGACAGCACCTGTGGTTCATTTGTTGTAAAAAAGATTTAAGCTCAGGTCTTATTAAAGCACCATTTTTTCTTTAAGTTAAATACTAATTTGTAAACATTAAGTTGGTTGACAACAATGAACGCAGACAGAATAGAGATAAAAAAAAACTGATTTCCCATTAAGATCATCTGCTGTGAGATAATAATTTACGTACATCCTCTTCATGTTATCTCAAACAATTCACTGTCTTATACACATACTGTGTCATTTATATATAACTAGTAATGGGTTTGATTGCAGAGCGAGTAGCCTAAGCAAATACAGAAACATAAATTTCTTGCACACATTGCTTAACTCTGTATCACTTGTTGCTACACTTACAGAATTACAGACTCGTAACTGACACTTGACCCTGAAGCAGAAACCGAAATGTTTCCCAAACTGTGTGGTGAATCAAACAAGGGAACGCTGAGGATGAGAGGAGATTAAATGGTGGATGCAACACACCCAAACCATTCTGAAAAGAGTCAGTCTTGGCTTACACAAAACCATTACTCTAGCACTATTTTTGTAGTACACGTCAAAGCACTGAATTCCCTCCCTTTGCGAAGTTATCAAAGGCATCAAGAGTGGTTTGATGGGAAATGGTGCAGTGTAGAAAAACTTACCAACTTGGATTTGTTTACAGTTGGGGTGGCAGGAACCAGGGGTCGCAATGTCTATAATGCAAATATAAGGCTATTTATTAAGTATGCAAAATGGTGAATCTACACGTCTTCTGACTTTTCATACGTAGCACTGACAATGGTTTAAAAACAAAAAAACAAAAAAAACAACAAAAAAAAAGTAAATCTGAAGGGGAGAAAAATGTTTCCTTTAGCTACTATTTTGCCATACAGCACCATCCATGTTCCTCTAGGGCATGAATAGATTGTAAATACATAAATAAATGAATGAATGAATGAATGAATGAAATAAATAAATAAATAAATAAATAGATGCTGAAGGACAAAAACAAAATTATCCTAAACAATGTCACATACATCAGGCAGAGTATTCATGACTGTTCTGTGTAGTAACTTTCTGTGAGGTAAACTCTTAAGACGCCTGGTTCCAATCAACACCGCTGTCAACAACTCTAACTTGGTAAGTTTCTCTAGAATAAAGCATTTTACATCAAACCACCTTGAATGGCTTTTAATAATTTAATTATACAGGTTTTTCTTTCTTTCTTTTTTTTTTTAATCAGTTTAACCAATTTACACAGAGCTTGGCTCACCTAAGGCTCCTCATCCACTCGGTCCTGTAAAGTCACACTAAACTGCGTTTGAAACAGCTATTCTTAAATGAAACCTACACTGAATTAAATGCAATCCCCATGCTCAGTCAGTCCACTGCTCTCAGTCAGCGACCGTCCACAACCAGCACAAGATTTATACTGGGTTTTTAAATGGAGATTAGCCAGCGTCTCGGGTTGTGATTCAGAATTGAATCATTCATTAATCCGGACGGCAGCCATCACACAGTCTACGACCTGGCGTAATCCGGGTTTGAAAATCTATCTTGCTGTTCAAAGTCACCGGGAAGCGGCTTCTTCGCTGAGGAGTTTCACACCACCTCCGCTTTGACGGCACGGTGAAATACACAAACCATGTGCTCTGTATTCTGTTACATCCTGTCAAAATTACGTCGATTGGATCTTAAAGACAATATACCTGAATTTCTGGCCAGACACGTGTGTTTACAGATGAATAACACCGACTGTCCGCGGTGCTCAAAGTGCTGAATCTTTAAAGGGTCCCGTGTAACGTTAACTTACCGAGTGTACTGAATGGAAATAGCTTATATGTTCGTTTTTGATGTGATCGAACTTATATTCTTCACAGGCGCTCGACTTATCACATGTAAATGGAGAATTAAATTAAGTTAACTGACGAATGTTTTGAGTTTAGAACCGCTAGATAAACTCAGACGGTTCCCAGCTAACAAAAAGCCAGCCGGGGAACGTAAAGTTAGCAATAAACACCGGTGTGACTAAACGTGTAATTTTGACTTCTCATCCTGTAACAGTAACTACATTGTGTCAAAATGCTAGTCACCCTTATTAGTTAAGATTTGGCCTTTTATCGGCTGCTTACCGTGGTCCGACGATTTGTAGAAAGTATATTAAGAACAATGACTTCAAACGTTATTTAAGTAGACGTTATAAGAAAGGATAGACCTGAGCTAAGCTAACCTAAGCTAAGCTAACAAACAAGCCAGCTTTAGCCTTTAGCCTTTAGCCGGGTAACTGAGTGAATCGCACTGAACTCTAAATGCGATAACAGAGGTAAAAAAATCAAGCCAGAAGCCGCTTACCTGGCGGTTTGACGAAACCGTGTGAACTGTTGTAAAATCGGCAGGGACGCGGATATACTGACTGAGCGGCTAACACATTGCAGCATACTTCAGCTCGACCGAAAAATCAGTTTGTAGCCGTCAGGCCGCCATCATCTCTGCAGGCATAACAAGTCAATAACCAGTCGATCCTCAGCGGCTCATCGGTCTGCGAAGCTTCAAAAAACCGAGTCCTTTTCACAAATGAAAATAGAGACGAGCCGTTTGTGTAAAAATCATAAGCCGCGATCCTATAGAAAATATCTTTTTGACATGTCCCTAAAGCTCTAAGATTGATTAATCATCCCTACATTACGAAACGACAACGTTTTAAAAAACAGGTTTCACGGTAATTCCGATTTACAAGAATTACAGGAATTAATTTTAATTAATTTAACTCCAATGTAGAGAATCTCCTAATGCGGCAGCTGATCTGCTCATCATATTCACATCATAATCCTCCTCTTAATCCTCACAGTCATCTTCGCTGTTGTCATAGTCTTCATTATCATCACCATTGTCATCATCTCAGTCACCACCATCCACAATATCATCAGTCTTTTCATAAAAGTAGCCAAAGCAACCAGTATATAACTAACGAAAACCGCATTTACCGAGGTCAAAACCATTTTTGCCGTTGAGGTCATTCATTGAAGTTTGTTAGATTGGGATATTTTTGTGAAACACTTTGATATGCATTTCTATATATAACATTATGTTTATTAATAATAATATTATTAATTATCATTATTATTATTATTATTAGTAGTAGTAGTAGGAGTAGTGTATGGAACTAGTTGATGCTTGGTTTAGCAAGTAATATGCGCACAAACATATTGTAGTAATAACATTTTGTTTAAAGAACTAGAGGAAAATAGAATAGAAAAATCTTAACAAAATACTAGTTAAAATTAATAGTAAAGAAAACACCTTTTCATTAATTAAATTTCATATAATTCTTTTTATTTATGTTTGCAACGTAATTTTCACATTTTAATACTTCATCAATTGATTGTGAACTGTATAATCTTACTTAACGTTTGGCACAAAATGATCTATAATCATATAGTTTCTTTACTTTCTATAGTCAAATCCATAGTCATGTCAGTCAAATTAGTCAATTAAAAAAAGCATCATTGTGGTCAGTGGTGGACTGCCCCCCACACTGGCGAAGTGTTCTAGATAAAGAGGGTCTGAGGACGGATTAGGGCGCATAGCTGAACCTGAACAGACTGTCGGATTGAGCTTTCTTCATTCTCCAGTCCTGCAGTGACTCCACCAGCACATTAGGGGGCAGCCTGCTGGAGACAGTGCTCTAACAAGCCCGGAAGAATCGCATTCACAGATTGCATGTTGTAGGCTGTGTTTTCCTTAGTGAATGTTTGTGCTGAAAGAATCAGAAACTCTGTTTTTTTTTGCGAGATGACAGCTGCAAACTGTAAACAGCTGTTGTGTGTAGGATCTGAAATGCATTAAAGTGCTGCTGTCTAGTCCGTCCGAGCTGAAGCAGCTCGCTAAACAGCTATAAAGAGCCTGGACTAACTCTGCGCTCTCGGTGGAAGGTTTGAAGATTTGAATGACACTGCAGAAGTGAGAGTGAAGGCAGTTCAGAGGAGCCGCATTGCTGTTCTTACATTTATATTTTACCAGCAAACTGACAGGTCGTTTTTGCTTTGGAGCGGGGTGCAAACTGCTGCAGTGCCCTATGAAGCCCAGTGTCCAACAGGCGGACCCGTGAATAACCGAGCTGGTAGTGACTGACCGAGTCAGTGTCCTGCACGGACTGACTGTGTAGCTGAATTTTCGAGGCACGTCAAGCTCAGGAATGGAACATGGCTGTTTCTGAGACTCAGCTAATGTTGAGTGTGGGACTCATTGGTAAGAGCCGTTTATCCACACACACGCACTCATCTACTCATCTACATTAGTGAATTTACACCTGCAGCAAAACAAGACATTTTATAAATCCACTGCTGTCTTAAAACTTTCCAGTTTTTTAAACCCCAAATGTTTTTCTTTTTTTTTTTTTGTTTTTCTTCTTCTTTTCTTTTATTGTCTTTTTTTCCCTCTGTTGATGTTTCACAAAGTAATTCAGTGTGATATGTGAATGTTGAGCTTTAGTGTCTTCTACTTTTATTCTGTTATTGTATTAAAGGTTATTCACAAAAACACAGCACAGAAAATAGGAAGTATTGAAGTATGAAATGCAGGTGGACCAGAGGACTAAAGCTGGAAAACACCTTTTAGAGACTTTTGCATTAAAGTTTCAGTATGATTGAACGGTTTCATGTGGTATATGAACATTGTTGAAGTTTCAAAATGTTCTCTTCTCAGTCCACAGGGTTCATATGAGGTAACTGAGCTGCTAAACAGGCCATTTTGATTTTATTGTTTGTGTGATGTTATAAAACATATCCACTATTCATCCTACAGTTCCTAGGCCTGTCCCAAAGCCCACATTTGCAGTTTGTGGTTTTTGCACACTAACATGCCTTATTTCCAAATGTATCGAAAGTGTACAAGCACTTGTTAAGATCGCAGTTGTGATGATGTGGATCTCATGTTTTGTGTGAACTGTGGCACATATCCTTAGTTAATACCGCTTCAGTGCAGCCTTTATGAAAGGGTGGGTTAAGTGTGTGTTTGTTGGGGTCTTGTGCACTGTGTTTTTGCACATTTGAAAAATGGGACACACAAAGTACATAAATGCACATACAAGTACACAAAACTGCTAGTGTGAGCTTTGGGACAGGCAGTTTATCTCTGCCCATTCACATTGTAGTTAGTTATAAGGAGTGTTTCAGCCCAGACTGAATGAGGCACAATAGGGGGCAGCCGGTCAGCACATATATCAGTCTTAAAGGCACACTATCAACAGCAGTTTAATTCAAACAGATAACAAGAGATTGAAAAATGACCATGTAAAAGTAATTATGTCTATTTTTGGTCCATAAATCCCTACAAAGGCAATCAGTAGGCCCCGGGGAAAACTAAATGCATGATAAGTGTAGGATATGTTCTCTTTAATGCAGTAGTTTTCAAACTGGCCCTCTAGGCCCTCCAGACAGTCCACATTTTTGTTCTGTTCTTATGTGTTGAGAGTCAGGTTGGAGCAAATATGTGAACCATATGCAGGCCTTCAGAACTGATTGAGAACCATTGCTTTAATGGTACTGCTGTTGATGACTAGCTCTGAATTGTCTTTCCTCAGAAAAGGATGTGAATGGAGACACACTGTGGGTGTGGTGTTACCCGTCTGTCAGCACAGATCTGCGAGAAGTTCTTCTGCGAAAATGTTGCTTGACATCAGACAGTACAGTGCTGCACACGTTTGTGTTTGGGCAGTACTGCCGGACATGGTACTATATCAGTACAGTGGATGTCCAAGAGCCCACTGTTCTCAAGAAGGTAAGTTCCACAGCTCTGTGTAACTTCATTCTGAGAAGCACTGGTGGCTTAAACCAGAGAACCTCAAAAGATTCAAAGACTTTGTTCAATTTTTGATATTCAAACTCAAGTTTAAACCTTATAAAATCACTGCCATGTGTAAGACTGTTTGAATGCTGGAGTTTAGACTAGAACCCATGCTAGAAAAATGTAAAGACTAAAGAGAATAGTGTTTAATAATACAATGTAACATGAAAATGAATTGTCAAATGAATAATTGTGATCAATAACAATATCAATAATGTTTTTTGCTAAACTGATTGTAATAATTTTGACAGGCCTAGTAGATTTCATTTGAATGCACAAGCTTGCTTGCTGTGTAGTAGCAACAAAACGTATTTGGAACATTTTAATTTACCACGGGGCACAACAGAGGCGATTTCCATAAAATGACTTTCATTTTTCTGCTTAGTTTTGGAGGTCTAAATATGGATATTGGGTTGACAGCAAAACTTTTGAGGTCTACATCCATCGTAATCAGCTCCTTAGTTCATGGGCAGCTCCACAGGGTCACAATACTGAATGCTTTAACCTTGTTATTCCAAACACCTTATTCGCCTCAACTTTTCAACATAAAGTTGGCAAATATGACCTAAATCTCTGCAGTTTCACACTAAAATTCTAAACAACCTTTAAGGTCTGTTGAGCTTGGTTTGGATACATCATCTGTCAGTGACATAACAATAAACAGAAGTTCATTAGTTTCTTTCAGGCAAAGTTTGACGTAGTTTAATTTGAGCATGTATTTATTGGCCTAATTTTCATTTCAGTGTATCTAATGTTATGCCTAAAGTTTTAGGGTGTTAATTCACTAATCCTAAAATATTTGTTTATCCCTGAAGGTTACACATTTTTCTATAGTTATTACAGCCAAGGATTTCAACCCTGAAAAGTACGCTGCATTCAGTCGAGTTCTTTGCAGGTGAGCCATGTTTTACTGGAATATGACAGTATATCACATAAGAAGTTCTGTGCAGTTTCCGTTGAAGATGCTAGTCATTGACTTTTTTGATCAAATGCTATATTTCATCTGATATGTTTTTCAAAATATGTACTCCTGTACTGAAAACGTTAAAGGGCTTTGTGATGTGTGCTTCATCAGGATGTACATCAAACATGGCAATCCAGTAAAGATGATGGAGGGTTACATTGCTGTCCTAACTAAAGGCATCTGCCAAAGTGATGAGAATGGCTCCTTCCTCATCAAGGATTATGATGTCAGAAAAGCCTATTTGGCTGGATCCATAAAAGGTAAAATATTATCTGCATATATCACTATAAAAATAATATCAGCTACAGAATGAAAATCGATGTACTGTACATAAAAATGTTGCTACAGCACAGCTACATCTTTTTCTTATTAGCATTGTTGTCTGTGGTTTCTTCCTTTTACTTATAAGGACTTTAAAGCTATAGTTTGGTGTAAACTCAATTACAATTTTCCTTGCACCCCAGATGTAGTCAAAAATGGACAAACCTGTGGACAAAACTTTACTTTTACCCATTTGTATAGATCGGTTGTCTGAAACCACAGAAGCAAGTCTAAATGCTTTGTGGTTTTAGGCTACTTTGTGATGACATAGTTTGCACAATGCTATATGATATGCAGTTTGTGCAGTGCTAATTGGTGGTGTAAGCTACTATTAAAAGTTAGCTACATTAGCTTCGTAGCTCCAGTAGCACCAAGCATGTCTTTTCTGACTACACAGTCGTTCAAAGGTTTAGAATCACCATTCAAAAGTTTGAATCACTGTTTTAAATTAAAAAAATGTTGAAACAGGACTTAATATTAATATATATTAGTATATTATTATTTTTATAAATATTTATTATTATAACTACTATTTCAATTTACAATATTGAATAAAATAAAAGCAATTATTAATATAAGTGCATAGTGTAGTGTATGTTTAATGTAAGTAATTATCATAATAAGGAGGATTAGTATTGCACACTTTGTCAGTTCACAAGGATTGGTGTACAGGGCTGGAGTAGCTGAGATCAGCCTGTTTAGATAACTGTTCTTGTGTGTCTCTGACTCAGATGTGGTATCTCAGTTTGGGATGGAGACCATCATCCTGTACACAGCGCTGATGCTGAAGAAAAGGATCGTGATCTATCACCCTCGTGTTGAGGCTTTGCTCGAGTTCACAAGGTAATCACAGCAGTGCTATAATTCATTCTAAGATAGGGTTCAGAAGTGACACTGGTGTTGATCCCATGCAGTTGTTATGTTCTGGAGTTACATACTGATAAATGTATAGCTGTTGTAAATGTATACCTTTGGCTCATTGCGAATAAACATTGCTGATCACTATTGTCTTGAATCAGTGGACAGAATTAAGGTTTTAGTCCTGTTGTCATGTGTTGTCTATAGTTATGAATCTTTCAGAATGCAGTATGCTGTAATTGTATTAACATTGAAGGATGGCAGGATCTCCATCCCTGAGTGGCGTACAGATTTACTGGGTGTCTGCTTGATTAGAGTGCAGTAAATCACTTTGGGTTTCTCAGTTGACTAGAGCAGTGGTTCCCAACCGTGGTCCTGGAGGACCCCCTACCCTGCACATTTTAGTGTTTGCTCTGCTGCCAATACACCTGATCAAACTAGTCCGCTAATTAAAAAACCTACTTTAGAAGTGGGTATGTTTTGGCAGGAAAACAAAAATGTACAGGGCAAGAGGTCCCCGAGGACCAGGGTTAGGAACCACTGGACTAGAAGAAAAAGAGTACATCACTTTCACTAGAGGTTTAGGCTTGTTTCCCCTAGAGGAAATGCAGGTGGCTTCATTGTCAGAGATTGACCAATGGCATTACTCTCACTCCTCTTGTATTGTGACTAACAACCACAATATATATATATATATATATATATATATATATATATAATATGTATATATATATAATATGTATGTATAGATATTATTGTGTGTCTATCTTCAAAACCAGAGCACTTCCAGCCCTGACATGGCACCGGAAAGACTGGTCCATTCTGCACCCTTATGTTCATTTGGAGGACAGAGAGCTTGACAACCTTAGAGTGTGTACAGGTATGGAGGAGTTACAATTGTTACAGTATTCATAGCTCAGAATTAAATAAATAGATGTCACTACATCACTGCAGTCTACAATCTTCATTGATGTAAAGTTATGATTTAAATCTTACATTGTTGAAGCTATAGAACTGTTTTTGATATAGAAATAGGTATGAGGTTAAACCTCACCAATGGAGGGTTAGGATCAGTTTTCAGGGATCAGGATCAGTAAATAATAGTGAAATAATTTTTATAAAAGCTGTCAATAGAAGATTGACGCCCTCTGATTGTTTATACTGTAGTGCAAGTTGCTTTATTACTGATGATGCCTCTGGTACCTTGTGATTTATATAGGGTGATGGCCTGGTTATCTCAATACCGGCTCAACATGTTGTATAACTATAAATGTTGCCCCATTTCACATTAAGATTGGTAATGTGCTCTGTGTGCTCAGGATATGTTGCAGGATTTGTGGATCCTGAGGTGACCAACAGATCAGATCTCTTTGATGTTTTTGTGAATCTTCCGGACGGTGAAATCACCATATCTCAACATGCCAAAGGTGAGATATTTTCTCTCTGCTTCTGCTGAAATAAAATTTAAACTTAGAGTAAAAGCAGGTTGGGAAGCCAGTTTTTCAGTATATTGGGAATTAAACTTTTAAGATTTTGGTGATATATATATATATATATATATATATATACATATATATATATATATATATATATATATATATATATATAACCTTATTTTTATCATATCCAGGGATAGAAATACTATCCTTTTTGCCATAAAACCCTGACTGCTTGACTGCATAGTTACACTGCAAAATTTGCTTGTTGCCCCTGTACAGAGGCAATGGCTATGGGAAAACTGCATAAGGAGATTGGCCACTTTATCGTCCAGTCTGCTGAGGACAATGACCGCACAGATGTACAAGTTATCAAGGTGAACTTCTTTAAAGAGGACACTTGCGAGGATACATTACAATTTTGTGAGAAATTCGATAATTTAATTTTTTTCTGCTTTTAATCAGGATATCTCGATGAAGACCAAGGAAATCCTCAGTAACTTGGTGTCTCTTGCCAAGGAAGGGGAGGATGCAAAGTTGACTCTGGAGGCACTGAAGCAACGTCATTTCCCCCTGGCAACCGAGAACTTCCTCTTCCACTTAGCTGCAGCTGAGCAGCTCCTGAAGATCTAATGAATCAGAGCTCTCCATGAACCACTCAGATGCTTCAAAGTTATTGCTAGAGCTGGAAATGACCATGTGACCACATGATTTACTAATCCTAACACAGTTGCCAAGCTGAATTTACAGAGAATTTTATAGAGATTTTATGCCATAACATTCTAGGACATAGCTGGTGCTAGTCACATTCAGGCAAGAATATTATGCAGCTGTTCCAATTCTGTGACCAAGACTGTGCACATGTGTTTTATTTTTTTTTTCCCAGAGATACTTAGATATAAATAGCATATACAGGTGTGAATCGATTAGTTATCAAATTAAGTTGGCACTTTGATATTTGAGCTTGAAAGCAGTTTAGATGGAACACGCATTCCATCAGACAGCTGTGAAAATGAAGATTTCAGACTTTCATATGTTTACTTAAATTTGTCAATGATCTGCACAATGCTAAGAAAAGCCTTACGGTTGCCTTTCTTATGCCTTAAAATGAATAAAAGCATTATTAACCTATAGATTCAAAATTCTATATTGCCTCTGATATACAAGTGTTAAGATTCGATTGTTTCTTTAAGCACTTTTTCTCAATGTGATCCATGCTTTAAAACTGTCCTCTACAGAAAGATTAGGAGCAGTACTACATTAAGTCTACAAGTTTTTAACTGCATACACAACATGAATTCATCCAGTGTTTATATTTTATTACATGCTCCCTTTTGCACAAACTATATTTGTTCTAATGAAATTGCGCATTTTACTGTTCTGCTACATTCTTTTCAGTGACATGATAATGTATCTGAAAACATCTGAATTACACAGTATGTATTTTTCAAATGTACAGGTGCACTATTATTTTATGCCATGTTATTTCCCTTGCTAAGAATATATACAACAGATCACTAAATATTTGAAAACGGAGTTCTAGTGTAAAGACTTCAAAATGAACTGAGTTGAATTAACACTGAAGTGATGGCAATATGAATGTGCACATAACAGCAATAGTAACATTATTTTTGTTAACAATGCTCTGTTCTGTTTAGCTTAAAAAAACTATTAAATCAAAACTTTCAAGTCTCTTTGTTTAACGTGATGATTTATTGGAATAATAACTTAAACTGCACATTCTCCAGTCTTGAAAACTCAGTCCGAAACCTTTTGGTAGAAGTTGAAATTATACTCACAAGCATAATAGGAAACACAGTGTGTCTACATTCAGGTGTTAATTCCAAAGCAGATGTAAACACATCACTAAATTATACCCTACAAGTGTTGCTTCAGACATGACAGTTAAAGTCCTCTGTGGTAAAACAGTTGCTGGTCATCAGTTAAGGCCTGCAACTCCTTTTCTACTTGCTGCTTTTCAATCTAAAAACACAAAATAACATGAGAAAGATACTGTGCACTCAAAAAACCATTACCATTATAATTACACAGTATTCAACCCTTGGTAGCAGTACAACATGAAACAGAAATACAAACGTCATTTAAAACAAGGAAAACAGTTTACCAACACAGGTTGCACAACTAAAGAGCAATTCTGAACTCTGCACAGTGTAAAACAGCATTATAGTATTGTTTGATAGTTTGTCTTATGTAACTTACCTTGCCAAGTTGTGGAAACAAACTGAAGGACACAGGAATCATCAAGCCAAGGACAATGGCAGTACTAATGTGTCTAACAGGAGCAGCTATCATCAGGTTCCTTTGGACAAATTTTGCCCTGAGATGAAGATGCATACGTATTTAGTCAATGAGTCTCTGACTGATTACCTACTGAAATGAGCGGTACTGACTGTAATACCTCCTAAGAAAGTAGAGCAGTAAAGTGGGCACAGTTGCAGTGGTACCAAAAAGGGTTGCTCGAGATATGGCAGTCTCTTTGACAGCCTGTGAGAAAAAGAAAATGGTTGAACAGTGGTGTAATATATTACCCAACATCATACCATGACTCAGTGCCTATGTTATACAGTACTTTGTCAGAATTTGCAAGAACATCATGTTTCAGCTTTTGACAGCTTCTTCCCAGCAGAATTAATCTCACATTTAATATTTTACCCCACATATGAATGCTAAAATACCTAATTCTAGCAAAGCACTACAACAAACCTATACAGTCATCAATTTTTGTATGTCATGCTACAGATTTCCACCTATACTGCAGAAAATATTCTACCTTAGGAGAGAAAACTTGGTCAGTATTTTGAAAACCATGCTTGATACTAGTCTATGAGTAGTTTACAAACCCAATTTTAAAAAAAGGTGGGACAGCAGGTGTAATGCAAATAAAAACAGAAAGCAGTGAAATGCAGTATTTTATTGAAAGATATTTAATATTTTACCTTATCAACTTTATTAATTTTTGTAAATATACACTAATTCCAAATGTGATGCCTGCAACACATTCCAAAAAAGTCACAGGGACAGGGGCAGTGTTAGAGGATTGTGGAATAATCACAAACACCTGGTTTATAACTTTCCTCAGGTCAACAGGTAATAGGTGATGTGATCATGACTGAGTATAAAAGTTTTAAGTACATTTCTCAACACACGATTGCAAGAAATTTCGGGATTTCATCATCTACATTCCATGACATCATCAAAATATTCAGAGACCCTGGAGAAATCTGTGCATAAAGGGCAAGGCCAAAAACCAATACTGAATGCCTTTGACCTTTGATCTCTCAGATGGCACTGCATTTAAAAAAACCAACCCTTTTATAATGAATATTAAAAAATCCTTCTGTAATGACCATATGGACTCGGAAATACTTTGAAAAAAAAAACTTGTCAGAAAACAGTTCGTTGCTGCATCTACAAATGCAAGTACACAAAACAGAAGCCATCTATCAACAACATCCAGAAACACAACCGACTTCTCTGGGGTAAAGCTAATCTGAGATGGACTAACACAAAGTGGAAACCTGTGCTGTGACCTGACAAGTCCACCTTTCAAATTGATTTTGGAAATAATGGATGTCAAGTGCCACGCCAAAAAGAAAAAAAATGAATATCCTGCTTGTTACCAGTGTACCAGCGTCTGTCATGGTATAGGGGTTTGTTATTGCTGATGGCATAGGTAACATTCACATCTGTGAAGGCATCATTATTGCTGAACTTTAATTAATAACAGAAAGGAGTTAAAGAGTTAAAAGGAAAGATGAAGTAACACAGTGGTAAACATGCGACTGTCCCAACTTTTTTGGAAAGGCATCGAATTTAGAATAAATGTATATATTCAAAAAACAATAACGATAATTAGCTGAAACATTAAATATCTTGTTTTTTTACTGTTTTCAACTGAATACATGTCAAAAAGGATTTGTCACTGATTTCTGTTTTTATTTACATTTTTCCCAGTCCCAACTTTTTTGGAAAGGAGTTTATACAACATCACTTTTAGACTTGTGCTGAACCTTTTAAGATCTACTCATCATCAACCAACTCTGAACTTCTTTTTTACTTTCATTTTTAAAAGTAAACTGATTTTAAAATGACCTGAGAATTTTACTTTCGTTGAAAATATTTCAATATATATTAGAATCAATTCCAACTTTGCAAAATAGGTGCAGCTGAATCGCCACCATCTGATCGATGCATCATAAAGCATTAAGGCATTTTTACAGCCATAGTGTACTCAAGCAAACTGCACTGAATAAAACCTTCAGTGACCACCTTATAAGGCACTCCATTATTGTCTTCAGTAGTTTTCTCACCTTAGATCCAGCCTTCTTTGAGACACCAACTGAATTTCCATTAGAATCAAAGATCTGTATTCCATTCTCTGATTCCTCACTTCTCACCACCATAACACTGAAGGCAGCCAGAATAGCTAGAAAATGTACATCCATCAGTTGTAGTTGCAGTACATACAGTATAAATTCAAAGCAAAGATAAATTTAATATTCAGTGTACAACAAACGAGCAAAACAGACATATCAACAAAATAATCCCAAAAGGATTAGCAGGGAATGTGACCACACTGAAATAAAAATAGTATACTTTGCCAACATTTTAAGCAGGGGAACTTATTGTGGAATAAACTAATATTTACTCAAACAATTTTTAAGTTTTCAGGAAAAATTAAAAGGCAAGTATTACCTAGAAATATTAACTTCTGATCCTGGATCAAATATATGCTTTCAAAATATACACCTTCAATGAACAGTTTACTTCAGTTAAAATTATTCTGGAGATTTAACTTACAATTACTTTGTTAATTTACTTAGAAAATGGGAGGCAATCAGTTTTCTAACTTTTTTCTTTGATGTAAACAATGTTTACAGTGTACAGTGTATGAATGACTGGAAAAGCATGTTGGAAGTATCAGAGAATTACATGGTACAGAAAAGTGCTTTGCTGACCTGAAAGAGGAATAGGCAGCACTGACCTACAGAAGGCCTGAGCTACAGTACTGCTGACTCTCATGCGTTGGATTACAATTTGAGGAAGGGCCTGAAAATAAGCACATTGTGGGGGGAAAAAAAGATTACATATCCGAGGATAACACCCAGTGTGTGAGACAGTTCTGACATTTTGTATTGTAAGAACAACAAAGATTCCAAGAAACAGCTCTCACCCCTACAACTGTTGAATATGAAACTGCTCCGACAATAAGCAGGGGCTGCTTTGCTGATGTTTTATTTCCCTTAATAAATACAAAGAACTGATTAAGTTGTGCCCACATGCTTGACTCCTTATTTTATAAAGACGAAATGGCTCAGAGTACTAATGTACTCTGGAAAAACAGATACAATTTAATCAAGTGAGAAACAAAATTAGTTGTTTATAGTGGTCTGGTTTTGCAGGAATGCAGTGGAAAAAAACAGTCTTGGTTACCTGTGTGGCTGTCGTATTTCTGCTGGCATGGTTGAACCCTGCACAGTAACTCTGAAGAATAAACTGCAGATCGGAAATGTGAAAAGATTGTCACTCTGTCGTGAAAAAACAATTACAAAACAGAAATAGTTATGAAACTCCATGAAAATGCCATTACATGCCAGAACAGGGCAGGTCTGACTCCTTTATGAGGCAAAAAACTTGCTACAACCTAAATGACAAAAGAGAAATAATGAATTAGATTTTTATGGACATAGTTTAGATATAGATGGAGTTTTCATATCTGCTACAATTTACTGAATATACTGTACAGTGTATGAGAAACATACATGGTACTAACGTATATTGAACATCAACACTCACCAAAGGAACTGATATGGGCAGAAAAGCTGAAAAAGAAGTTAAAGGTAAAGATAAATTGTTGCTGTCTAAATTAAACAAGGTAACTTCATTGTTTCTAGTTTGGGAGTTAAAGAGTGCCGTATATTTAAGATCCATAAATGATTGTTACCTTGAGGACGAAACACTGGGGAAATCACTGCTCCACTGTCAGCATGGACAGATGACTACTCATGCCAACAAAAGCAGTTCGGTTTAATATTTCAAATTGAAACTCAATCAAGGCAAAATAATCTGACCAATAATTTCATATATCAAGTACTCATTTTATTTCTTACTCTGTTTGATTTCTGTAAGTAATTGTCAAAATATCCTTCAAAATATTACACTATTATGGTCATTTTGGTGAAGGCGACAATCGATACTCACCACAGAGAGTGTCCAAGCATTATGAATCTAGAGAAATAAAGCATAAGGAAATATTCCACAGGACAGAATATGAATAAAAAAACTATTTTATACGTCTACTAAGTTCTTGGTAGGGGTGAGCAATATGGTGATATTTTATTATTATCACGATTACGTCACAATATGCTTTTCTGAGCATATTGTGAATATCGTCAGCACTTAAAGAACGCTGACCAACCTCATGTTTAATTTCAAAGAGAGCTTAAGTCCTGTTTACCGGCAAACACGGAATAAAGGTTATTGGGCATAATCCACCAATGTCTTCCCAAGTTTTTCTTAAATGTGTTCTTGAGAAAGGTCCTAAGAAAAAGTCTACGTAAGAATCATGATGTGTTCTTAAACTACAGAATTGTTTGCGCCTTTGTGCTCGTGAGTGTGTGTAGATTCTGTTCTTACCTAAGAACAAATCCTAAATAAGAAGACTCTGGTGAATGTCAGACTCTTTGTGAGTACTGTGTAAGTGGGTTTTAATAAGAATTTTTTTCTTAAGAATGGTTGGTGAATGAAGCCCAATGAACTCACAGATGTTGAAAGTATTTTTTAATTGTTTTTTGTCAGTTCCAACTTATGAAACCTCAGAAAAACTAAATATTGTTATAGATGTTGTGTATCATGAAAATGTCTATAAATATCACGATATTATATTTTTGTCATATCCTCTACCCCCAGTTCTCAGCCTACCTTTTCATTCTTCTGCTGCTTCTCTTCACTCCTGAGCAGACAACGGGCCTTTTCTATTTCAGCCTGAAAATGAAAGCAAACACGTTCCTCTCTCTTGTGAAAATTAAGCATTTCTGGTTTTACAAAACATCACATTAATGTGTACAAGAGCTCTGGAATAAAGTCTACTATTTACATGAAGAATGAACTACAAAAAAGAAAGTTTGGAAACTGGAAAAATGCAACATTTTTCAAAAATGTTGCAACACACTGAAAATCAGTACTAAACCATAAGGAACATTCCTCTGCAGTCAAGGCACTAATAACATAATTTAGGCAGAATCGCTGACTCAGTGCTCTACAGAATATGTGCATTGTCTGGGCAGACTGGAATAAAATTCTTCTGAGCTTGTGTCTAACGTTACAAAGTGAAATACAATGTGGACACATTTCATTGCTGTATTGTTTTATTGTGTTTTCAAGTTTAAATACCAAACTGACTTTTTCTCAGGATAAAACTGTAACTGTGGACCTGATCACGTGTCCTAATCTGCTCCAGAAAGACATTTATGCATTCATGTGGCTGTGAAGAAGCACTTCACACCAACAAAATCTAGATCTACACACTTAAAAAAGATGGTTCTTCAAGGCTTCTACATGCAAAGAACTCTTTAAGCATGCAAATGGTTCTGAATAGTACTATTCCCTTTACTAAGAACGCTTAACCCTCTTTTTAAGTGTGTAGGGTCAGAGATAGAGATGAATGAGCCACTCACATCAGAGGCCAGCAAGGAACTGGGGTCAAGGAGATTGAACCAAATGCGAAGCCTGCTGAGGAACGACTAGAAAACATTGCAGATAGTATGGAACATGTAAATAATAATAATAATAATAATAATAATAATAATACATTCATTTAATCAAACACAAGCCTACTAACGTTACTGTAACATCACTGTAAGCACCTTTCCGTTGTTTTGCCAGTATTCCAAGTTCAGGTCCATTTCAACGACCTCAGCGGACAGTTTTTTAAATGTTAATCTGAAATGATGTGCAAATCGACTGAAATCTCCACATTAGGAATGATAGAAAAACAGTGAGTGAAACACGAACAGAGTTTAATCTGCATACTGTGTAGGTCAAGCAGGCGGCGCGCGCATGTTTGTAGCCGAATTCCAGTTCCGTGCGACGAGCCGATGACGTAAAGCGCTCCTACTGCGCAGCTGCGTCACACGCGTGTTAGCCAATCAAGTTGGGAAGTTCGATTCGGCTCAACGAACCGACTGTTTCGAACTGCATGGTCAACTTAAACGATTCATTGATTCACAAGTCAGTTTATTTAATATGGTTCTCATCTTCTCCATCCACAAAGGAAAGATACGCAAATATTCAAAGAGTGCTTAATACGTTACAATGTGGCATTTAAAGCTATAAATGTATGAGGATACATTTTAAAATAAATTTAGTCTTCAGCCTGTAATAAGGGCATAAACGTTGTACAGTGGGAAGAAACCTCATATAGCTGCTCAGTGTGCAATGTTTTAATCTGGAAACCTTTACTTGAACAAAAATGCAAAAATGACCTGGCATCCTCAATGCAGTGATTTAAAGTTATCACTATGCTTGCTTGCTTGCTTATTTATTTATTTATTTATTTATTTATTTAATCACTCACTCACTCACTGAGTGGTAGTTGTGGTCATGTGTCCTGTGTGGCTGTGAATGTGTTCGCAGATCGACTGATTTATTCAAAAGAATCAGTTCAAATAAACGACTCACTCACTCGAACATCGTAGTCTTTTGCAGCACTTACAAGATGGCAGCCACCTTCGGGCGACTTCTCGGGAGTTCTGTGAGTTTTGGGTTGTTTAAGCGTGACTCCTTACATGGCTGGCATGTTGTTCAGTCGACTAAGTTGTGATTTTGGCTGTTGTTTGGTTATGTCTGCATTAATATATTAGTCGTTAAGGCTGAGGTAGTTAACCTTCCCCCTCGCTGTGCAGTGCTGTTCTGTCAGTGTTGAGTAAAATGGAGCACAGTTCTAACCTAATGCGGATAAAGCTCCCATGATCCATGCTGCCTGATAGGTGCTTAAAATGTAGCTCACTGCCTGCACAGCATTCTGCTGCATGTGTTTGACCCATATATATATATATATGTATATATGTATATGTATGTATGTATATATGTGTGTGTGTGTGTGTGTGTGTGTGTGTGTGTGTGTGTGTGTGTATGTTTCACCTGTTTTCAATATGCCTCTCCCAACTGATCAGCTCATTATGAAGCCCTTCATAAGGTTCATGTGAATCAGAGAACACTAAAGAGGACTGAGAACCACTGCAACTTCTGCAGTTTCACAATGTGGTTAACATGCAGCCTGAAAAGCCATCACAGGGTCTTTTTTTATTCTTTTGTTCTATTTCTGGGCTATACACATACATTAGTTCTGCTTGTGGTTGCTCAGCTCAACCCATCCCTTTTTCTTATCTACAGGCCACAAGAACGGCAGTTAATGGACTGAGGACCTTGGCCTCTCTGAATGGGGCGTCAGTGATCAGGGCTTCAAGAGCCCTCCCTTGTCCTGCTGTACAGAAAGCCTGCTTCTCCATCAGTATGTTTCATTTCAAAAAGACAAGAGAGATTTTTTTTTTCCCCAATTTAAAGGGGAATATATTAGTTTAAAAAAATGCATAGTTCAATCTTTGAGATGGAAACAAAGTCATTCATAGAGGTTTAATTTGAAATGGTGCATTGTAGAGGACCAACTCTTATTTCTTTATAATGGTGGTGATATGAACCAGGGTTCAGAATGCACATAATTTTTATATGTAATGTTGATATTGGTAGTAGTTTTTTAAAAAATATGCTTTACACCAAAACTTTATCTCAAATCTATCATAAAACAGTGTCTCAGACATCTGGCAATGTATTTGTAACCACTGCATGTAATAACTTTCTGTAGCTTTTAGAAGCTACTGACAGAAACAGATCCTAGATAGCACTCCTAATCTTCCTAATCTGAGATGCTTTGTGAATTTTTACCACAACTGTGTTGTGACTTTGTAACAATTGAGGCTTAGTTAGTTTTTTTCTAGATTAGAGCATTTTAAATCCATCTGAATGCCTTTATATAAATTCTTAAAAATAATGATTCTTCAAGGGTTCTTTAGTAAAAACAGTGATTCTGTTTAGATCTGTGAGCACTCAAAGAACCACATGCACGCTTAAAAGGGTTTTTTGCATCATGAAATGGTTGTTTAAATTGATAGTGTGTTGTGTATGGTTCTACATAAAATCATTTTACAAAGGGTTCTATATAGCACTAAAATGGTTGTTCTGTTCTCCCTTTTTAGTGCAACATAGAGCCTTTTTTAGGTCTATATAGAACTGTACTACTCTATAGAAACACTGTCTTTACTGAAGAAGAACCATCTTTTTGTGTATTAGTGATTTAGTAATGCTGTTAACAAATTGGTGGAATTTCACTTTATGACATTTATATGACCTCAGATAAATTGAGCTTGTCTGCAAGATAAGTAAACGTAATTTTTGTTCATTGTGGGTTTTTTGTTGTTTAATCTGAATCCCAGATGCTGCTAAATGGGCACCAGCAGTCACTCAGCATGCCCCACACTTCAAGGGTACAGCAGTCCACAATGGAGAATTCAAGGAGATCAGTCTAGATGACTACAAGGGCAAATATCTAGTCCTGTTTTTCTACCCACTTGATTTGTAAGTCATGTTGCAAATTTGTTCCTTCATCATCTTTTTTCCTTTGAACGTCTCAGTTTTGGCCTGTGTTCGTCACCGTTTCAATGACCACTTCATAATTTCTAAAGTTGGCTACAGTTATATACATATTATAGGTATATACATTATTCATTAATTACAAGCATTCACTTTACAAGCATACATGATGGTGTCTTTCCACATTGTGATGTACTGTTTTGTTTTCGTAATTGTGGCCTGAAAAAAGAAAAAGACAAATCATTTTTTCCTGTTGTTATTGTCTTTGTAGCACATTTGTCTGCCCAACTGAGATCATCTCGTTCAGTGATAAGGCCAGCGAATTCCACGATGTTAACTGTGCGGTGGTGGGTGTTTCTGTGGACTCTCACTTCACTCACCTGGCTTGGACCAACACTCCTAGAAAGGTAGAACCATTGTACCACTACATGCATATACAGCAGGGTTTCTCAACCAGTTGGCCACAGACCACAAGTGGGCCTTGAAATACCCTCTGGTGGTCCTTGGGCCTATACTGAGGGGGAGCTAGTGGTCCTTAGTGGTCCTTAGGCTAGTGGTGGTGACACTATATGTCATACAAAGTCAGTGAAAGAATAATTTACTTTATATTAAGAAAGAAATATAAAATGTTTTCAAATGGTGAACATTGTTAACACAAGTCCTGCAGCAACAACGCATGAAGCAGCTTTCTCTGTTTTATTCCGCCCCCAAAAATTCATTTGTCCGCGCACGAGCAACTGGTGTAAAAATGTGTTGTAGAAACGTTCTGCTTAATCTGCCATTATTCTGCTTGGACTGAAGGTGGAAAAGGTTGAGAACCCCTGATGTACAGTACTGTGCAAAAGTCTTAAGCCTCTGATAAAATAAGAAAAATAGATCCAATGTTTTTATCTATGTTTAACTAGAATAAATAGAAATAAACAGTACTTTGTGATTTCATATGTACAGTCACATGTACAGTCACCAGCTAATGCCAGCTTCAGCTAATCAGTCCTTTATTAAATTAAATCAGGTGCTGCAGGTGGAATTTAACAAATCCTTGTAGTAGAGTGCAGTGAGAGGTCAATAACTAAACCTATGTTCTTTTAACCAACACATTACCAAACTTTTTTAAAAACAAACTGTAAATTACATTTATTTGTATTTATTCCGGTGTTGTATAGTATTCTTACTGCCCATGCTGCCCCAATAAATAGTTTTAAACAGTTTTCTCAGGTAATTTTGAACAGTATTGTCAAATAGGTCATCACCTTGTCAAATAGGTCATCTAATAAGAACATGGTGATATGAACAAGTTGTCTGTCTAAGTGAGTTTTGGAAAAACTACCAAAGCCAACTGCTAATCTCACTGTGTAAACTTTGGCCTCTCTTGTTTTCCTGCAGAGTGGAGGACTAGGCAAAATCCACATCCCCCTGCTGGCCGATCTCAACAAACAGGTCTCTAGAGACTATGGCGTCCTACTGGAGGGTCCAGGAATAGCTCTGAGGTGTTGTGAGGAAACACACAATTGGATTAGAAATTGCTGATAACTTAGAAAAATGTAGCTGACCGTTTTGATATTCTTTACCTATCCCATCATTTCTATCATAGGTCTCAGTAGCTTTAGAGCATAACTTAAAGCAGAAATCTTGGCTTTCTCAGCTAAGCCCTTCAGTTTTTCATTTGCTGTGTTTCTGTCTATAGGGGACTGTTCATCATTGATCCTAATGGTGTAATCAGACACATGAGCGTCAATGACCTTCCAGTGGGGCGCTCTGTTGAGGAGACATTGCGTCTCGTAAAGGCCTTCCAGTATGTGGAAACACATGGAGAGGTCTGTCCAGCCAGCTGGACCCCGAAATCACCTACGGTAAGGCTTTTGGCTTCCTTCTAAAACTGTTTGTAGATCTGAAATTTCCAATCAAACAACGATGGTTGAAGTTGTATTGCTAGTTAATAAAAGCAGTTTTCTTGTGTTTCAGATAAAGCCAACTCCCAAGGGCTCAAAGGAATACTTTGAAAAGGTTAACTAAAATAACCTTGTCAGATCCACTCTGCTTGTAATGGATATAAAATGAAGGCACTTAATAATATTGTGCTTCAACTGGTAATGCACACTGTTAAAGATATAGTTTCATTCTGGTATATGTATCAAACATACTAGCAGTTAACAATCACAGTTTCTATTTTTGTTCTGTGTATTTGGCAAGTTGTCTCAATAAAATCGACGCTGACAGTGACAGTGTTTGTTTTTTGAGCCTTTAAAAATGTTAATGCTTCTTGTGATGCTAACAGTTAATATTACCTTACATTTCTATTTTCCAAGACATTTCAAGATATATGAAGGACAGATGCTACTGCCATCACACCATTCTTTTATTCTATTGATTGAAAAGTGCAATTACAGAGAAAATGTGTGTAGTTTTCAAAAAACATGGTTTCTTTTTCAGCTGTCTTGAATAATTGGGGAAAAGAAAAAAAAAATCACTTAGCCAAAATATTTATCAAGACAACTTCACTTTTAGAATTCAAACCATGCCTATATAACCTCTGTACATAAACAATGTTTATTTTTTTCTTTTTACAGCACAATTTTAATAGTATGTTTAAAATGTCCATTCAGACATCACAAGGTTCATGACATGAGGAACCAGAAATCAACCAGAATTTGAGAGGGTTCAGGGGTTAGAAAAAAAAGGCTTTGCCACATCTCAGACATCTTTAGTTACATACTGTATTTACACAGCAGAATGAAAACAATAAAAGGTTTGCTGGAGTGCTGCAGCAGCACATCGTATAGCAATGAAAACATCTAGTAAAGTGTACAGTAATGTCACTCTTTACAGTATGCTTGCAGAAACTGTATGTGTCTGACATTCACAACGTTGGTTCTGGTAATGGATTCAAAAAGTTAGCATGAGGGAGGTGGCTGTCCAGTTAGTGGAGAGCCACTTAAAGCTTTAAATCATAAATGTTAAAAAAATAAAAAAATAATTGCCGGTATTGACTATCTCCTCTACGAGCAGCACAAAGTCAAAGAAGCACTTGACAGGATTTCGACTGCTTCACACAATGCATATGAAAAAGGGTAGGCGAATATGAGTGTCAGGAATCCCAGAAAAAGCAGATACAAACAGAACCTCATACAATTAGGTGAAAACTTCATGCAAGTACAGGCAAGATGTAACAGTGCCGCCCACCCCAAGCTCAGAAGTGAAAGAAAGGAGAAGAAAGACAACCAAAACCTTTAAACTGAATGTCTTTTTAAAAGTAATAAATCTGTACAACCAAAATACATTTGGGATCTACATCTACAGTTACATTATTAAGGTTATATACATGTTTACCCCATCCATATATTATCTTCACAAGCAGACTTCATTCAGAACCCAACATTAAAAGTAAGACTAAACCAGAAAATACAACATCACCTCAAAACAACCAATTAGAACAATCTGCCACTCAAACTACACTTCTCCCAGATGACCAGTCCTACATTAATCTATGTCCTGGGCAGGGAACCAGGACAAAACAAAGTTATTTTTTTGACCCAAACTATTTGTTTTCATTTGATTTGAACTAGCTAGTGTAAACTGGGGAGAAAATGGTGCTACGTGAACAAGTCTGGCCACACAGATGCTAGTAGCCTACACCAAGTTTTTAAATGATGGAAAAAATATCCAACATGGACATTTTGAAAATTCAAATGTATGTTACGCTCTTGGTGATTCAAAACAAGTGTTTAAAACAATACAACAATGGCATCACACAACTCGGTAATATAAAAGACAGGTAGGAGCACAGACACAAACCCAACTCTCCAATATTCTCATATAATAGAACAAAGGCTTTCAATACGCTTTGGCCTCTTCACTGAAGAGAGCTAGACTATTCCATCAATAAAAGGTCTATGTTCACTGGTGATGGGTGGGACAGATTTATCAGAGAACTAAGGTTGTGGTTTACATTTTTTTCCATTTTTAAACTGCATAAATTCTATGCATTTGCTCCAGAGGAAAAATGAAACGTTATTAATAATAAAAAAAACAAAAAAAAACAAATAAAATTCATGTTTATTTCATCTTCCATTTTGCCTTTGTGTGCACAATTTTCCAACCTTGAATTCACTGAGAAAATGGAAAACTAGATTTGTACAAGATAAGATCACAATCTCTTCTTGCAAAAGAAACAAAGACTTGTGCCCGCCACTGCTGGGAAAATGCCGGCTGATCACAGCTCTGCTGCAGAGATGCTAATCGATTTTCACGTTTGTGTAGATCTTCCTCACGAAGGCACTTGTTCCCATGTAACCAACTGCTCCTGTAGGGACATACAAAGAAATACACTTATGACACACAAAGTTAAATATTTAAGGATGGACTTTTTCCATATTCATTAATTTCAGATGGCAGACTACACACTGATCATGCAGGCAGAATGTAGAAAAGAGACAACTGTTAAGTCCTGATAAACAAATCTGTCATACGCACCGCACATTATACCCAGAGCGGTGCTGAACACAGCCATGTACCCAAAATAGAATGATGTCTGAAATAAGCCATACATCCTGCAGAGGGAAGGAAAGAAAAAAAATAAATAAATAAAATAGACACTTGGTCACAAAGTCTATTTAGTCTACTTAGACACTTAAAGTCTATTTAGGCATTCAAACACTACAAAGAAAGATACCAAAGATACTCAAGCACATTTATCACCATACAGAAAGTAATATATGGGTAAAAATAAAGTCTTCATTAATTAGCATTCATAGCCTTGGAAGAAAACTAAGTTCAACTCACTTTGTTTTGAAGAAATAGTAGTAAAAGGAATACATATAAACATAAACCGCCGTGGAGGCTGCAGAAAGAAAGCTTGTCCACTGCCTGTAAAAGAATTAAATTAAATTATGAAATTCGGTTTGAAGGCAGTTTAAAACATAGAACCTGACAATTTCCTAGGAAATGACTCAATTGCCTTTTCCCTGGAACTAAAATCTGATCCTTATGTAAAAACCAAGAAAGCAAGGGGTGGGGTAGACACACCATCACACCACATTTAAATTCATTAAATTAAGCCCACAACAGAAAAGTAGGACAGGGAAAGTTCTTTTCATAAATAAGCGACACTCACCATCTGTAGTCTTCGGCATTGAGGAGAAAGTACGTGCAAACAATGGTCACACACACAGTCACGATACACAAGATGACCAGCACAAGCATCATGAAGCCATACACGTAGTAAATCTTATAGGCCCAGAATGAGGTGAAAATAAAGTACCTGAGAAGAAGCGAACAAGGTTTTTTTTATTATTTAAACAAGTGATACTGGGCATCTCATGTCTACAAAGTAAATCAATTGAAGGAATAGCAGCCTTACATCTCAATGAATATTGACCCAAATGGTAGAATGCCTCCCAGACACACGATAACAGCTGGTTCCATGAACCTGATAAATAAAACGAAGAAAGAGGTGAGGTACTAATGATGATAATCCCTGTTTTTCCACTGGTGCATACACAGATACATGATGTAAAATACACTGAATTTCACAGTAAGACAACCATACTGGACAATATGTCGTCTCAGAGCTCGTACATATGCACATGCACACATTTTCATCTCTTTTTATACACATTTTCTATCTTAGTATTTTCTGTAGACAATTTATACATGTGTGCAACATAAAACTGATTCAGATTATAATCAAACTGCAATCTAGACTTTATCTATACTCCAGGCAGAAAGGAGGAGAAATTTTATTCACTCAATATTTAACTACCTCTTCAGTATAAAATAACAGTTACGAGATGGTCTCTAAAAATAAAGGAGGAGCGTACCATTTCTTCTCTGGGATGGGTCTGGGCACAGCGTTAACCCTGCAGGGGAAGTTGGGCTGACCTGAGAGATTCCGACCCAAGATCGTCCCAACCAGGTTCAGGGGCAGGATGACAAAGAAGCAGATACAGCACACCGCAACCTGAAAAACAGAAAGACAGACTGCATCACTCTCTTCCACTCCAAATCATACTTGCCTGAAACGTTTCAAGTAGCTGCTGTAAATAACCTCAAAGAAACTAGATCAAAATCAGTGTGTACAGCAAAGAACAGAAGCTGATGTAGTGCAAGTAGTCACAACCTGTGATTCAGCAAAAATGAACACTGCATAAAATCATGTTCTAATGGACTTCAGTTTGTGATATCAATATGGCACTACTGCGGCATGATGGACAGCACAGTTTTCATGATTGAACCTTTAACTTATCAACCAAGTAAAAACAATACACTTAATTTATCAACAGACTAATAAATAAGGCACAAAATCAAGTCACGTTTAAACAAGAGGGAGACACTTAAGCTGTTAAAAATCAAGGGAATGTCTTGAATACATGACTAGGTCTATTTAATAACACTCCTAAATAGGTGGTTACTGTCGCAAGAGAACTGGAACAACCTACACAAAACACTCTGATTATTTTATTCATGTTAGTAAAGTATTTGGAGTAATGAATACAGAGAAACAAAGACACCAACTCATTAGTTACGTTCATGTCCACTGTTATGGCATCACAATTTTTAAAAAAGGACCCTGCGCTGCGAGGCCAAAAGCACTAAAACTAAGGGCATTTTCACACTAGAGTTTTTGCAGGACCCAGGACCGCTTCCTCTGCGAGTTCAGTATGTTTGATGTGAACGCTGTTTTTAAGCCCTGGAGCAGTCCAGAGAACTGATCTCTGGTCCTCCTGGAATCGGTGGTCTGGGGTTTGCTTCCAGCAAACTGGTGTAGTGCGCTGCATCTGTGGAAGCTAACGGCTCCTGGTGCTAAGTGTGGGTTGCGTGATTACTCCATTTTGTAATGTGACTGCTTCAAATTATCATGTTAATTCCCTGTTCAAGTTTCATGATGGCAGAGAAAGTACTGCTGTGGACCAAAAGTGCTGTTCTTTACCTGTTCAATGTTTGTATCCAAGGAAAATAATAAAAAGCTGCAAATTGATGAAGGTAGTGTCTACCATTTTGCAAACCTGTATGTAGAAAAGTGACTTATGAATTGCACAATCAGTCCATGGTTTGGATGGGATTCTTGTGTGTAAAAGCAAACCAGCAATAAAGAAGAAGTGTGAAAACACCCGAAGCCTAGAAAGCTTTCACATTATGGATTATTCATTGATTAGCACAGTTCCTGCTATGTTTCCAGGAGCAAGTATGAACTCCCCATGGACAAATCATTTCTGGCCAGGCTAAGCACTTACCATAGTACCGAATGGAATGGCTCTGGAGGCATGGTAGTAGATAGCGATGAAGTTAATGAAGAAGGCTGTACCACACACCATAGCTGGGATCAGGAATGCTCCGATAAACATCTGCTTTATCCATCTCCTCCCTGCTCAAAAGCACACAAAGTAACAGCCATGCTACTGCAACAACTCCTCAATAACAGTGATTGAGCACACTGGCATTTAGCCCAGAGGTTTGTAGCATTAAAATAAAACACAGTCTGTCAGTCAACATGGTTGCACATGAAGCAATGTCTTATGTATGTTGCTACTGATGTCTTAAGCAAAATTTTTTCCCCTCTTTGTTTATGGTATTAATGAGCCACAGCAGTTCATTTTCCAGCTGAGGACTCAGAATTAAAACTCAAGACAGCAATATCTTACCCCCTTGTTTTGCATACAGGCTGCCCCCAAAGTAACCATTTACTGGAGAGGTGGCAGCATACACAAATATAGCAGTGCTCAGCATGGACCCCCTCCTACAAGAGAAAAAGGAAAATAGTTGTCAATATACCCACAAATGTGTTGTTTTAAAAAAAAATAAATAAATAAATAAAAAATACCACAACGACAAACACACTAGAAAGTGTCAGAAAGCTTTTTGGTTGGTTCTTTTCTTGAAAGTAGCACACTACATATCCATGAATCGACAGTTCTTCAGAAAATCTACTGCATGGACACGACCATTCTGGTTATAGTCCAGCATATTATTTACTTGGTAAATTACTGAAAACTCACTCAGTGTACAAATCCTCAAGCATGGCCAAAACTATGACAATGAGGGATACAGAGAAGATCTGGCAACCAGAGCCTATAAGGGAGGAGAAGATCAGAGGGTGGCTGGAGGGTCTGAACACATCACCATGAACTTGCTTCCACCCATACTCATCCCCAAGATCCCTGTCCTGTGTACAGACAGAAAAAACAGTGTATATGGTACATCAAGCATAGAAACAGCAGAAACCTATTCAGTGTGAATTCCCAGACTTAAATCATTTCAGTCAGTCAATGCAGTGTCTTAAACTTTCTGACCAATTTTCAATGAACTCATCTAATCTTATCCAGAAAAACTAACATCTACTTTATTAATTTTGCACAGTCATGTCATGAACAAGACATCTGCCACAAGACACGTACAATTCCACCCAGCAAAAGTACAAACCCAATTCCAAAAAAGTTGGGGCGGTATATGAAATTCTAATTAAAAAAAGAAATCAGTAATTGACCTGTATTACACTGAAAACTTTACAAAAAGTTGTGTTTTTTCTTACAAACTTTGTTTTTTTTGTAAATATATGCTCATTTTAAATTTGATGCCTGTAATTGTTTGGTGACTGAAGACACCAACTGATAGAAATTTGAAAGTGTAATTTTTTACAGTTCTTCTGTTATACAAGTCAAGAGCTGTGCAACCATACAGAACTTTTGGCATCATATTATGAGCTGAATAAGACAATGGAAGACAAGTCTGGACTACTGGCAGGTCAGTCTAGGACCCGTACTTTCTGATTACGCAGCCACGCTGTTGTAACACATGCAGAATGTGGCTTGGTGTTGCCATGTAGAAATAAGCATGGACGTCCCTGAGAAAGCTGGCGTCTAGAAGACAGCAAATGTTGCTCCAAAATGTGTTCAGCATTAATGGTGCTTTCATAGATGTGCAAGTCACCCACTAATACTCCCCCCTACCATGACAGACACTGGCTTTTGAATTTTATGCTGGTAACAATCTGGAATGTCCTTTCTTTCTTTGGCCTGGAGAACACGATGTCCAATATTTCCAAAAATAATCTGAAAGGCTGACACGTCAGACCATAGCACATATTTCCACTAGGCATCAATGCATTTTAGATGAGCTCAAGGACAGAGAAGTCTATGCCGATTCTGGATGATGTTGGCATATGGCTTCCACCATGCATAGTATAGTCATAACTTGCATTTGTGGATGCAGCGACAAGCTATGTTTATTGCCAATGGTTCATCAAAGTATTCCTGAGCCCAAGCAGTGGTATCAAATACAGAAACATGCCTGTTTGAAGTTTTTAGTAGTGCCATCTCTCGCAGATCACAGGCGTTCATTGTGATTTTTGGCCTTGTCTTTTACAAACCGAGATTTCTGAATGTTTCTGATAATGTTACTACGCACTGTAGAGGCTGAAATTCCTTGCAATCCCTGGCAGGGGAATTATTTTTAAACTGTTGAATTTTTTGCTGATGCATTTTTGCCAAAGTGGTGATCCTCAACCCATCCATGCTCATCAAGGACTGGGTCTTTCCTGGATGCTCCTTGTATGTCCAAGCATGAAATTCCTAGTCTTAAACTGCCCCTGTTCCTTTTTTGCAGCTGATAAGGTAAACATTACATGTTATGTCTTGGTACTGTTTTCATTTAAATACAGATCAAAGTAGATTTATAAATCACTGCTTTCTGTTTTCAAGTCTGCATTTTACCTACTGTCCTTTTTGGTATTAGGTTTGTGTATCCACCAGCACTTTTTGTTCAATTACACTAAAACCATTTCCTCATTTGGCAAGGCCCAGTGTTATTCATTTGGAAAATGCTCCGAATTAATAACTCACCATATCATCCATTTCCTCCTCTTTGCTGTATCTGGCATAGTCTTTCCTCAGTGTCCTCATCAGGATCATAGACACCAGGCCCACAAGGAAAATAACCATCATGAAGGAGTTAAATATGGAGAACCAGTGAATCTATCAATGGAGAAAACACACAAGTTAAACTAAGGCATCACAACCTTTAACAATCATTTTCTCAGGATAAAAAAAATCTTACGTCAATAGTCCTTATCAAAATTTAGTACTTACTCTGTGTTGAAAGAATGATGGATCAAGGTATTTGTCAAATCGATCTTCAAATTTCACATCAGATTTTTTCCACTTCACCTACAATGATGTTGGATGGGGGGGACAAGTTTTATTTCAGTACTTCTAGAATTAGCGTCAACACTACAATATCTGCAACTTCTTCATATCAGCATTACGACATTAAGCTATGCTGTTCTTAGATAGAGCCAGCTGCACATGGTAAAAAGTAAAAATAGGGTATTCACAGGTGGTCTTATAAGGACTTCTAATAAAATTGTACTCACTGAGTAAGACATAGCAATCCTTGTGTTTGGCACAAGTTTGACTTTCCCCTCACTTGTCAGGTTAACGTCCACAATCCTGTCACTGTTGAAGCCAATTTCCAGCTTTTTGTAAGTCCAGAGGTAATAGTCTTCCCCATTCTCATCAGCTTCTCCAACAATCCCTGAGATGCAATTATCAAGTCCATATGTTTACAAAACATGAAAATATGAAATCTTGGAAAACATACAGCATTACCCAAATATGAGGTCTTAAAGGAGAATTTCAGAAATAATTTGTTTGTGTCACTGGCTTGTGTGCAATAGCCAGATCTGCAGCCTACTACTAAAATAAGCAGCATAAGATAAATATAGGATGGTTAAACATTGGTATGAACACTACAGTTTGAAAAACACATACAGAAAACATAAAATTCAAACTAGAAGGACAGCTGAGAGTGAACACACCTTGATGGTAATGAATTTCAAACAAAATGTTGATCAATAAGTTGGGCATGGCAAAGCATTAAAATCCTGAACTACTCACCCCAAATGGGCAGGTCATCTATGTACATTTGGTACCAGTAGTGATTCTTGATGGCGTAGACAAAGGCATCTCTTTTAGCTTTGTTCAGGTCAATTTCACAGTATGTCGTCTGCATTACTTCCTCTGTGAAGGACAAATTCTAATTACTGTTTTTCCCCCAAAAATGTATGAAAACTCCAGGACTCCAGTGAATACATTTAAGCCAATTTTATAGAATCTTTCTTGCACTCTTCCATAAAGATATTCAAATGTGAAAATATTAAATGCGCAATGCCAACCAAATAACTTTTTGCACAAGTTACACAATGTACTACAATGCACTGTTCTAGTGGTACACAATACATTTTTCTTTATGCACATTAACACAGTCTAAGCCCACTCATGAAGCTATTATCTTCATCAAACTGATGAAAAAGGGTTATGTAAAATGCAAATAACTAATGCAAATAATGTCAATGCAAAATGATAATTACCTTTAAACTTGATGTCTAAGCCACTGAACTCAAGCTCTACTCCCTGCAAAGCCTCTCCCAACGTCTCATGGTAGTGGCTGATGGTCTTCTTAGTGCCCTCACAGAAGGGCAGGGAGAAGTATTTATAGGTCTCCTGTCTGTTGTGATAGGGCCCCACTGTGTTCATCCACAGAACCACCTCTTCTTTGTCTGTATACTACATACAAAAAAAAAATCTCATTAAAATTTGCTCTCCAGTGACATTCACATGGACAACATTGGTATGCAATATGACAGTTTGGCAAACTGAAAATGACATCAATTTTTTTCCCTTTCCTCATTTTTCTTCCAAGTTTGGGTGTTGCCATTTCCCACTTTCCCACTCCCATGTGGCGGTTCTCCGCATAGTGTGTCAACACCACCAATGTGGAGAAAGGAAGGAAGAATGTAGTGCAGTCTGGCGCTTAAATACGTTTGAAGAGGAGTGCCAACTACCTGCTCTGAGGTGCCAGTGGACTGCACGTCTGAGAAAGTGTAACTAGCTACACTGGAACCCTCCCATTTTTTAAACATCTCAGAAAGAACGTCAAAGGTTCAATGCATGCGTCTGAACGTGCCACACCCACTGGCCCTAAATGACGTGTACTTTCTCACAGTGTAGTGACGAACTACTCCAGGGCACTACTACAGCCTACTACTACATAGGCCAAATGCAGGATTGACAGGTAGACTGCAGAACCCAACAGTTATAGAGATCTGGGGCGGAAAAGGGTTCAAGATGCAACACAGTAATAGGTACCCTACTCCATAAAGTCTGCCCTGCATCACTCCATCTGACAGTCTATTCTGACAGACAGAGCAACACAGAATGAGAAAACTATCACTTTTGCATTAGGCTACATAAAAACTGAACTGTGACACACATTTACAAACTTAATCACACCCAGTTCTGACTCTGACCAACTTAAAATAGTTGTGGATGGTGAAAACTGAGAGGTCGGCAATTTTGGACAACCAAAATTTAGCCTAAAATATTAGTTTTCCACCCTGGTAAAGTGACAGGGGAATAAAGAGGGCTCTGCTGTAATGTAGGAATCAGTAAAGTCCTTTTTTTACATTTTGGTTAGACTTGGCAAGCACAAAGTGAGTGACCACCGAAGAGATACCACAATGTCTCAGTTTGCTTAACATGTAAAATGGAGCTGCCTTTAACATGATAAGCTCAGCACAGCAGCTCTACAGAATTGGATATGAGGGATACTGTTTAATAAGAAACCAGCTCCTGGAGATCCTCCCTACGGCAGAGTTTAGTCCTTAATCTAACACAGCTGATGCAGCAAAACAAGACCAACCACTCATGTGATTAGCAAACTTGACCAACCTGGAGATCACAGCCATCATTGTGATGTGGATAGTGACACACTGAATAATGGGATTAGTATAAAATGAACAACCTGCACAGATACACTGCAGGAGCCACCTGATTTAATGCTGAGAGGATGTGATGGTCTGGACTGGGAGCAATTTTAATAATTTGCCAAGAAATAGTGATGAGCTGAGTGGAAAGTTAGTTCCAAAAATGTTAGACACCTCACAATTAATACTCTATATTACAGCACTTCAAATTGCAAACGACCCAATGACTAAGAGGTTAAAGTGATGACTGTCCGTGACTTGATGCATGTTCAGCCATATTAGATGAACTATTCAGATAACTCTGTCCAAGAAAGACAATTGGCAGATATATTTTACAGTCAGTAAAGTTGTCTGGCCTTACATGCCCCATGATGACTTTCTCTGAATACGTCTTAGTAGTTAGTTTCTGCTTACTCTGATAGTTTTTAGTCTTTAGCAACACCAACTGCAAGTGTGCATCTATGTTGTTTTGGACTTCAAGGGTTTGACCATTTTCCACCTTTTTAGCCCATCACGCTGCATGAGTGCAATCAGTTTAGGCATTCAGTTGTATCTCGGCATATATATTTTTTTTCAAATAATTTTTAATATGACATAGTGCTATGATCACCAACAACCACCAATACTTTGTCAACAAAGAACACCACCAGTTAAAAATCTAACATGACACTAACATAATAATATAAAATATTTTAACACTAACTCCATCATATTTTAAAAACAAGGTGATTATGTGAATCATGGGTGACTCCTTTTTAACCACACATTCTTGTCTTACTTGAATCAGAAATTCTAACATTTCTCTTCAGTACCAAGATCTACTTCCAAGTTTAACACCATCAGGAAGGGTCTCTGAGCTAGCTGAGCATTTCAATTGATGACAGGTGGGGTGGAGGGAGTCAGGGGTGAAAACATGATATTAATGTTAACAGTTAATAGTACTTTTCCCCCAACTGCTGGTGCAAGTTGACTTGGCCAAAAAAAAAATCAGAAGATGGTTCAGAGCAGGCAAAAATCATCACATTTTCTCGTAAACGACTCCTTTTTCTGTACAGCATGTATTAGAGCGTTTTATGTAGTGGAAGAGAGATAACATTTTACTGTAAAGGAAGTTTTCAGATTTTTTTTAAATCTCTGTCTGTTCTTGATACATTGAACCAAGACCTGAGTGCTTCCTCTCACAATTCAAAGGATTCATCAGTAAATTGCTATGGTGGTGTTCTTTGTTCTTTATGATATTTTGCCATTGTGGAGCTTTCCGATGCTTGACATGCATAAGCTGAACACTTCCATCATCACGTCAGTCACAGGGAACTCCAAAGGCAGAAGCAAATCTTACAATTAAGACTGGCTGTCTCAAGACACAACAACTCGAGAACACATCCTCTTAATAAGTAGCCTAAAATAGTATAACTGAGGAACTACGGTTCTAAAAAATGTTAAACTATTTATGTTTCCCAGGTAATTTCTTATTCTGGTTTTGTTAGAAAGTTTCAATAGACGACCAAACACATTAACTGTTATGACCCATGACAGTGTTTACCCTTAGCGACAAACATTACCCAGTGAATTAACATAAATAATCATAAATTACCATTAAACACAACTTTCTGAACTATGTCAAACAGAAAGCTCTTTTGGTAAACCTGAGGTAGCAAAGGTAAACAACCACCTATGCAGAGCAAGGTGGTCACATTCATGTCACAGTGCCGAACCACAGTTGGATGTACCTGGTCAGAACATAAACAATGAAGGTCTTTGAGTTACGCATGGCCACAACAATGTCTCAGCCTTACAATGACTTCACAGGGACAGAAATTATCTCTAGATAAAGCGTCTGTAGGGTGTTTCATTACAAAGATATCAAGAAGGAAAACTTTGGAAGTTAGTTAGCCCATTTTATAGGGGTATATTTTAAATTTCCAACTTATTTACAGATGTCAAAGCCTTGATATCTGCAACTAATACAGGCTGTGCCTGTACAAACTTCAGCAAACTCAGCACATGGAAGCAAAAGAGGTTCTCTAAGGTTTCTTATCAGGAAAAGTGTGTGTGAGTGAGAGAGCGAGAGAGAGTGAGCGTCATAGAGCGTTGACTGATACCTCAGCAACACAATCGATCTGTCCAGTCCAACATCACACCAAATAACCAAATCCCAAAAACTGACCGCACATCAGATAGAAACACACACTTTTAGATCCAAGACAGTGTCCTCACCATACACACTCACACATTAATGCATAATTACGACCCTTTTAGTCCCTCTGCTACAATCCGCCAGTTGTGTGGCTGTAACCGTAAACTCTCACTGATGGATTACAATACAGTCAGTGTTGAGAGCGCCGAGCTTTCAGTGATCCAGGACACAGAAGAGATTTCCGAAAGCAAACAAGATCAATGCTCTGACTCAAGCAAAAGTCAACATGAATGTCCATACTTGACGTAGAAAAAACATGATCCAACACAAATAGTTCAGCTATCGTGTATTGTCATTGTTTTTTTTTTCAGCTTTTGCATCAGTCTGCTAACGTCTAAAATGAAATAACTAGCCTTAGCCAACTTAGCCAGCCAGCTAGTTCGTTCACAAAAGAGACACAGAAGTCTTTGATCCGATCCATCGAGTAGTTAGTACTTTCATTTGACATTTCTGAGGGCATCGCCTTAAACTGTCCACAAGGATAAGTTTGACCGCCGCGTTGTGCTGATTCTGGCTAAGCTAACCTGACTGCCGTGGCAGGCCGAACCGGATACGTCTGTGTGCACAGGCGGACATGTTAACGAACGCTAGCAAGCAAGCTAACCTTAGATTTGTCGACTTTTATTTGTTCTCGCCGTACATTTCACGAGTTATTTATAAGCAGACACGATGACAGTGTATTAATTGCACTTCACTTCAGGTTGCAGGCAGACGCTAGTTATTTTTACAGAGCTGACAGCGTTTAGCGGGGTTAGCCAAGTGAGCGTTTGTTAGCAGGCTGGTTTCTCGGGACCACGTCGCTGCCGCTCGCTTTAGCTTTTTAGCAACGGAGGGGGGTCTAAAACCACTTTAACAAGACACTAGCAGTTTTGTGACAGGTTAACTTGTTTCACATTTGAGCTGGCGACATTTAACCGCTTCTTCTCATGAATATCCCCCTCCACCAGGCTAAACAGAGATACAAGGGCTTCTCGGCCCCCGAAGCATTTTCCTTACCGTGTGATCATGTTCATCCGCTCGCACCGGTAATAACAGACTTAAAAGAGGCATTAAGACCACCGCTGCAACCTTCCACCTGGACGAGCCTGTCATTTTTCGAGGAAAGTTTGATTCTGGGATATTACTATATCTTTTTTGGAGCTATCCCACCTTCCTCCTTCCTGGTTCTATGACAGTGGATGGCTCGGGATTCTCTCATGCGAATATGTCGCGAATTGTTTCACGGTGAAGCATCGCACTCGACGCTGATTGGCCAAAGTCTCCCATACGTTCAGGTTCGACCAATCGCGGACAGGAGCGCTGAGCGAGTGTTGAACTTCGAAACGCCTCTCGCCCAGTGCTCAGCCACCGTCGGCCACGTCATCCAAGTGCGTGCAGCAGGAGCGGAAGAGGAGAATGACTACTACCACCACTACTGTTGCTGTACTGGTTTAGGAGGATTGAAACACTTACTGTACAATACAGATTAATTACGATTTCCCTACAAATTCAGCAGCATTATCCAGCTTTCTTGCCCTCTTTCCTCATTAAGAAATTTTTTCATGCTGCAGTTTTTCTTTCCAAACTTCATGTATTCAGTTTCATTGCTGTTTGTAAATGTACATTAAATGTAGCCATGACATGAAATGTGATCCGATTTAGGGAGAAGTGGAAGAGTAAATAGAAAAAATCTACTGTCTTAGTGTTTTTTCTACTCTGAAGTTCATGTAGAATAGCATCATGTGCTGTTTGATAATACACACTTTAAAAAGATGGTTCTTCAAGGGTTCTTTAGCAAAGGCAATGGTTCTGACATTGTAACAATAAAAGAACTCTTTTTGGTGCTATGTAAGACTATTTTCAAAAGAAATGGAATACATTCTCCATCGATCTGAACAACGATTTCACCATGTTAAGAACCAGTTAAGCATGAAATGTCTTTACATAGAACCACTGTCTTTACTTAGAGAACCTTTGAAGATGCAACTCCCACTTATTGAGTTCAGGTGTTTTAGCCACACCCATTGCTAACAGGTGGATAAAAGTACATAGCCTTGTAATCTCAATAGGCAAACACTGGCAGTAGAAAGGGTCATACTGATGAGCTCAGTGACTTTAAACATGGCACTGTCATAGGATGCCCCATCTGCCCCAAGTCAGTTTGTGAAATTTCTATCCTGCTCTGCCCCTGACAACTGTAAGTGCTTTTATTGTGAAATGGAACCTAGGTGCAACAGCAGTTTAGCCACGAAGCAGTAGATCATGCAAACTGACAGAGTGCAGCTACTGAGTGTTAAAGCGCACAGTGCCTATCCTCTGTTGAATTACTCACTGCAGAGTTTCAAATTGTTTGCCCGACTGCATTGTGCCAAGTGTAAAGTTTGGTGGAGGAAGGAAAAATATAGGGTTGTATTTATGGGTTGGCCTAGACCCCTTAGTTCCAGTGAAGGGAAATCTTAACGCTTTAACATAGAAAGACATTTTGAACAATTCTATGTTTCCAACTTTGTGTGAAGTTTGGGGAAGGCCCTTTTCTGTTCCAGCATGACTGCCTCAGTGCACAAAGAAGAGAGGAAGTTGCTATGAAAAGGTGTGTGTGTGGGCACTCTATATTAATGGCTATGGATTTAGAATGGGAGGTCATAAAAGCTCCTGTGAGTGTAACATGTAGGTATCCCAATACTTTTGTCCATATAGTGTACGTGCCTTTAGGTTTTGTACTTTTCATGATGTTACAGACTCTTCTAGACCAAGAATCCTGCACTGTTGTTCACACAATGACACAGCGCAATCAGGGACTTTCATTTTCTTTTATTACTCATCATCATCATCATAAGTGCTCATCCACCACTTATCATTCATTTTTTGATCATTTGGCAATCACTGACAAAATACACTCATGTCCACTGTCTATCTACCAATCTTCAGTTCTGATAATTCTAATGAGTCAATATTCACAAACATTTTCATCATGTCATTTCATATACTGTAAAAATGTTTTTGTCCATTCAACCTAAAAATGACTTTATGTGGTAACCAGCAGTTTGATAGGTGTTCAAATTAAAGAAATACATTGAATGAAATGATACAAAGCAAAATTTATTTAGATGAACAAAAGCAATAATTTGCATCAATTCAAACCCCAAAAACACAAATCAGCTTCTGCTCACTTCAACTGTTTATGGCGTACGTTTAATCCACAAAAGAATGATGAATTCTGCAGGATAACAGCTGCTGAAGTTGCAGTTCTAACATCAGCAGAGGAATGATCTTTGTAGCATAACTGAAGTGTTGAAGGCAAACATCCATGACGCTCTGCAGTTTTAAATCGGTGCATGTCTGAATACTTCAGAGAGTATTTTTGATGCTTCTAGATTATGCTGTCAACAAACTCCCTGTAATGTAAATGCAATCATTCATTTTTATCTGAAAATTGTGTGGAAGTTCATATTTGTAACGATACAAAGACTTAAAAGAAAAGAAAACAGGTTTGAAACATTACCTTATGATGCCTGGCAAAGCAGGGTCCCTGTACAGTCCATTATGAAGATATCCATGAGATCCATCAAACAACACCAGCTTGACTCGATCATCTGACTTTATGGCGGTTTTTGCTATGCTGTAGAGCTGGACAGGAAAATAATGGTTATGAAAATAATTTTATAGTTTATGGACCAGAATTTTATTTATTTATGCTCAGGAAAACACAGCTGATAACACAATCACACACACAGCCACTGTTGATTGTATATTGTATCTCTTGCCATGTCATACCTCCTCAGCTGTCTGGTAGGGCACCAAATGGTCATCTTTAGAATGAAGGATTAGAAGAGGCGTCCTCATTTTCTCCAAACTGTAGCAAAATCACAAATATCCTCATTCAGCAATGAAGTAATGATCATGGCTTACATTTTTAAGTCTACTGCACATATCAATCTCTTTTATGTTCAATATTGTGAAATAATTATATAATGATTTTATAATAATTATTATATATAATTATTATAATGTTTAGTTGAATGCCATTGCCTTATACTTACTTTTCATCACTGGGAAAGGTCAATTTATTATTTTTTAATCTGTCCTGGAAGAAGTACTGAATGTAGGGAAACTTCCAATAATACTGGGATGAAAAAAGAAGAAACAATGGATATACATTATAAGATACAGTATGTCTATCAATCATAAGGCTATATGCATGGGCGCGAACTTGGGTTAAATACTGTGGGGAGGGAAAAAAAAAAGAGAGAATTTTGAATTTATGTCCTCATAAGTGAAATGCATGGAAATCAGCTGAGTTTTTCTGGTTTCCGTAGCGACCCTGCAGCTTAAAATCCTTACTGCAGTTTCACTACAGCAGCTGTTTACAGACTGTTCTATGCAGTTTCACTACCACAGCTTTTCTCAAGCTTTGCGCTAGGAATGTAGGACTTAGTTTTGCGCTCCCCCGTAGTTCATACCCATAGCTATATATGTCATAAAGAAAATGATCATACAGCTGTTAAAGTACATAGACATGATATTCTCTACTTCTCAGTATAACACCAACATGTGAAAGATCCAGGATGATTTCCTACCCAGGTGAAAGGATGTGGGTATCCCTGTGGTACTTTTCCAGTTTTGAATGCACCCTCCAGTATCACTCCATCGGCAGGGTTACCTAGAAAGACAGGCCTGTGGTAATCTATGGTAGTAGTGTTAATTTCATTTCTAGGACATCTTAAAATAAATAATGTAATGCGCAATAGAAACTGAAATAACACAGCCAGCAACAAGGGCCATGAATAACAAACCTAAGGAAATGAAACGTCCTTATTGTGGCTTTTCACCAGACTTTGACTTCTTTTTAGGACACTGAGGGAGTCTGAATGATTAATATTTTCACTAATCCATCAGTTTTAGTAAATATGTGTCGATTACACTGTGCACCTTTCATGTGTTGTGGTTCAGTCTTGTATAAACAAAATGATTACACTGTGAGCATGCTCTCTAAAACGCATGATGATATATTTTATCATAATGACATCTAACTTTTTCAAAGTAAGGCCACAAGAGCTATGAGCTCAGAATTATTTTTGGGCTTAAACTAGTTTACCTGAAAAACAGCATACATTAACATCCTAACATCCTCCAGTAAAGATTATTTCTTACCTTGTTCTTGTAATTTAGCTGCAATGTTAGTTGACACTCTGCAAACAGAATAATAACATGTCCATGTGTTTTAAAATATAATATATGATTTGTGACATTCTTTTATCTTAATAACTACCTTTTTTAAAATGCTATAGTGGTGTATCTAAGGTAGCATCATGTCTACTTACCCAGTGCCAAGTGAATGTCCCCATATGATCACCGGACTGCCCTTACTGCGCTCCCTTACCCAGTGGTACAGGTAGAGGGCATCAGTGGTCAGCCCAGGCTCTGTGGGCTCACCAGTGGAGTCTCCAAATCCTAAAAGAATTTTAATGCAGTTATATCTGAGAAAGAACAATTTACAAGTTTCTAAAATATTAAGTAATAGTAATGATGACAAACAGTAAAAAATAATAAAATTGCTGTCATGTATTTACTGTTAAATGATCAAATATGTTGGAATAATAATTACTTAAATGAATTATGTCATTTTTAATATTTTTAATAGATTATATATTTCACTAAATGTTCATAATAATTTCTTTTGATGCACTGGCTGGGTGTCAGAGAGCTTAACAAAACAGTTGGTGATTACTCAAGCAGATCTGCATGTCACCTCCCATGTTTAATTTTTTGCCTTCTTAACATAGAAAAAAACACACATGCTGGGATTACAAATTTGTTTCAGTTATAAAAGTGCTACATTATGCATAAGATGATGTGTACACAAATACTGAAATGCAAGAATAAAACATTCATATAATTAAAATTAAATTTTCTTGACAGTTTTAAAGACTGATATTGCTTTATGGTGAGACTTTCCATTAAGAGTTGTGTTTTTGATAGAAAGGGCACAATAACACATGTTCTTTATCATTACCAATACTGAAACCTTGAGTATTGTTCGATACTGATACCAGTCCGGTATTTCTTCTTAAAAAAAGATATTTTTAATTGAAGCACATCACTTACAATATTATACTTTACTGATTTTACAGGGGAAATTTCAAAATGTCAACTATGCTCAGCATGTGAGCAGCCCATCACTCTCTGAGGCAGTGGAGGGTTAAGTGCCACGCTCAAGGGCATAAGGAATACCCAGTCAGTCCTGAGATTTGAACCCGCAACCTTCTGATGATGATCTAAAAGTAGGTTATCATTCATCATTTAACATATCATTCATCATTTAGTTTATCAAATTACTGAAACACTCTACTCTACCATAGGAAGACATACAGCTAACAATATCACACAATGTGAGAGCGTGCTATTTCAGGCTACATTTGTTACAGAATCGGATCAGATTTAGACTTATTTTCCTTACAATACCCATTAATTGTCACTAATACCGATACCCATCAATATCCATCTCTAGTTATACAGGAACAAAAGAGGTAGAAAGCAACTGTACACTTAAATACTATATAGTGTTCCTTGAATAGCAACACAATACTCATGCATATTTTTAGCACACCCGCTGCCTTTTACATTGTACTGAAAACAACTTGGAATACACTATTATGACATTAACAGAATGTATGTCTTTCATCTCCTATAAAGCTACCATTTGAAGATATGGCACTGATGATAAGTGGAGTAACAGGGTTCAACCCACCTCTGTAATCCATAACCACTGCATGATAGCCAAGAGAACTTAAAATCTGCAACACCAAAATGCTGTCAGTGGAACATGATTCACATTGTTTAGATTTCTAACAGCGGAAATAGTGAAGCTACTCACATTTGCAACTGCTATTCGATGGGGGGCTGCTCTGTTGAAATAAAACCAGAAAAAAAATCATCAGTCAGCACCAAAGTAACAAAAATAACGTAGTGGTTCAGAACATCTACCGTTCACTAAAAGTGTGCTGCAAACTTCACTGTGTGACAGTAAAGCTGATGTTTAATTTTTTATGCTGTAAAAGGGTTCACCTAGGTTCTGTAACAGAGTTCTGGACAAAGTGCAATTCATAATGTCTCCTTTGTGTGTTTAATGATTCCAGAGGGTAAAGATTACTTGGATTGGGGGCATTAAACGACAATGGGAATTAACAGGAATGTAAGGAGCAAAACGAAAAATGTAAGAACAGAAAATACAGATCTAATGCATTACCTTGATTACATTAAAAAGAATATGGAAGACAGACAGATTACTAAGAGGTTTCAAATATAACAGCATTGCAGGTAGTACTCATGTCTCTAAATCATCAGCTGCACACTCTATACTAGCAGGTAAAATGTTGCTGGACACTAGATGATTTCATTGGAAATACTCACTGTCAATTAGTTTATTTAATTTGTAGACATTTACAGAGCATAAGCCACCTATATGATCCAGCTGAAATGGTTACAGGCCTGAAAAAATGATCCACAACAACATTTTTAACAAGTTTGCCCACCTGTTATTTGTATTGCCATGAAGATAGATGAAAACAGGTGATCCATCACTCAAAGACTTCTCGTACCAGTCCAGCCCCTTCCCTTGGGCCTCCTTCCACTTTTGCTCAGGGACAGTGTGCCTAATACACAGGAGCCAGAGAACAGGACAGTGAGAGAAGATGTAAGACACAGCACATTTGAAAACTGTATTCATATTTGTTTGCTAACAGACATTTCTCAGTTCATTCAACTGACCACACTCCTAGTGTCACATCCTCTTCAGAGGTCAGGTACATGTTAACGGTGTGGTTTAGACCGAGGTCAGCGGGACGGCTCAAGTCGACGAAGTACAGGACTGAGGAAAGATAAAAAAAATAATGATATGTTAATCTTACAGCTGCAATAACCTGCACAGGACATATGCTGTCATGTCAAGTGGAAATTTGCAACATACTTGCACGTGAATAAACCAGGTGCTGTACAATGCCAGGAAAGAGCCTTAGCAGAAACGGAGTGACCAAATACAGGACACAGAGGGCTAGAAATGTCCATTTCAGCCACACTCTCCATGAAGACCTTGACAACATTAAATGGAGAAGACTGTCAGAAGGTGTTAGGCTATGCAGGTTTTGGAACTAGGTTTAGCACTGGATCTTAGCAGAGGTGTGTTCACTTTTAGCTTCTTATTGACCATCCGAGCAAGGAAGTAGGCTGAGACCGATAAACAGCTCGAGAGGTGGAGGCTATGGAGCAGTGAAGATGAAATCTCACCTTTAAAAGTTTTATCGTTTTTATCTCCACAGTCTTTTGCCACTGTTCTGTCTTTAGCCTAGCAGAGTGAAAGAAAGCATCTCTAACCTCGCTCGCGCTCCCACAGCCTTTTTGCCATTTGCCGGTTTCTTCTCAGTCCGTTCAGACCCAACCGCTCCATCCGCTCTTCTCCTCATCTTGCAGCACGGTAGCCGAAGAAAATGGCTGTTTTTGGACTCGTTACTGAAAGGTAGGCTAATTCAGAGTACCTAGAGTCTAGTGTGATAAGAAAACCTACATGTCATTACGCTGTACCGTACTCTTGACTTCGAGGGGTCATTGGAGGGACTGTGTGTACCTGACTGGAAACGCCTACTTCATGTAGCCAGTAAGGGTCCTCACGTACTGACACAATTAATGAGATCATGTTTGTGAAGAGTTTCGCAACATTCTGAGGACCTACCCTGCTGAAAAGGAACCAATAGAAACCATTAGAATCCTTTACACTGTGATATCAACCCATTAAGAAGCCAAATCACATTGCAAAATCAACAGAAACACGTAATGGTTTCTGTTTTTTTTTTCAGCAGGGTAATGAAGGTAGAAACACAACAGCTACCTTTTCAGACCACATTTTTTCCCATTCCCAGCTTCATAGTTAGCACTATTTAAAAAGATGATTCTTCAAGTGTTCTTTAGTAAAGGGAATAGCTCTATTTAGAACCATGAGTTCTATATAGAACCATTCCATTCCTAACTTCTTAAAATGCCAGGCATATTACACACTAAAGCAGTAACTACAGGGACTTCAGCAAACTGGTTGAGCTAGTCTTAGGTTATTAAAGTGTGTAATAAAATGGTGGGCCTACTAGTGGGCCATGGCCATTTAAGGGGTTAAATTGTTTTTTGCATGGTGAAATGCTTCCTCAGTTTGATAGAAATTGTGTTGTATATGGTTCTTTAGAGAACCTTTTTGGAAATAGTTCCATACAGCACCAAAATGGGATTTTCTGTTGTGCTATTTAGGATTGTTTTCAATGCAGAAACATGTACAACACATTCTCCATCTGTCTGAAGAACCATTTCACCTTTTTAAGTGTGGCATGGTTCATATTTCTAAACAGAACCATTCCCTTTAGTAAAGAACCATCTTTTTTAAGAGTGTAAGCTGGGGTTCAGCAATACCACTGATTTTCTTTTTGATCTGACTCTCATACCAAGCAGGGCTGGGATGCAATGGAATTCAGAATACATAAATGAAGCACCTGTATTTTTCTAAAAGGCACCATTTATTGCCATTCAGAAACATTAAGCAAGTTCAGTTTATGACTGTTATTCATTCAGTGGAATGTGATTAAATGTTTTGTTGCCCTACAAGTAGGCTACTGCAAATAGCTTAAGCTTAAAGCACTGTCTCACTTTTACACACAAGCAGTTCAACTCTACTTGGAAAAATTTCGGAGGCCTTTTTCACAAAAACACGTGAGTATATAGTTTTTAGCAAGAAGTGTCCCAAACGCATAGTTTGGGCCAGGTGGCGGTCTTACTGAGTGGTGTGTGGGAGCAGCAGTGGACTGAATTAGGTGCTGAGAGAAAATATATGTTGAACTTCAGAACTCAAATAAGAAGCAGCCTTTTCACTTCAACAGAAAAATTACATAAATAAATCTACCAACTGTAACAGTGAGGAACAGAGTGAATTAAGTAAGTAGTACAGTATCAACTTTTGCAACAGCAAAGGCTACTGTCCAAGTCCTCCTATAGTTTCTTCCTAGCATGAGAGTGAGCAAAAATTGAAAATGTTGCAAAATGCGTTCAGCAGTAGTCTGTTATTCACCTAAGACAATAGGCAGCAGGCACAGTCAGTTACTTTAAAACATTTCCTTTATTTTTCTTTTCGTCATATTTGCCATGCTTATGAAGTTCCCACTCAGCACTCCAGTGTAAGAAGCTCTGAATAACTAAAAATCATAAAAAAACACAAACAGCTTGATTCTATCATAACTAAAAAGAGCATTACATTTTATATTAGAAGTTACTAGACGTCAGAATTTACTGTCCTGCAGACTATGAAGGAATTACAGTGTGGTGGATGATGAAGTCTGTTACATCTACAATCTATGATCTCCACAGTAGAATGTATCATAAATTAGAATATATGAAAATAATGTTGAAGGCCATGACCTGGTCCCAGACACCCTTCTTTTGCACCATGTAGTTATGCTGCCAGTGACTGCACAAACTCCCTGTAATGTAAATAATATGAAATGCAAAAAATAAGTTTTCTGCCTGTGTTTATTTATAATCTAGTCCTTCACCAGTGAGAACTGATACAAGATTTGAGACATTACCTTATGATGCCTGGCACAGCAGGGTCTCTGTAGAGTCCATTATGACCATACCCAAGAGAACTATCAAACGACACCAGTTTGATTTGTTTGTCTGACTTCAGGGCTTCTCTGGCTATGCTGTAAAGCTGGATAGGAAAATATGGCTTATGAATCTGCATTTGAGTTTAACTCAGGAGTATACATCTGATGACACTAAACACGAATATGGGGTGTGATTATTCATGTGTCATACCTCCTGAGCCATTTTAAAGGGCGTCAGTTGGTCATCTTCAGCATGAAGCATCAGAAGAGGCATCCTCATTTTCTTCAAGCTGGAAAAGCAGCATATTCTCATTTAGAAACATGGTAATAAGACTGACTTACTGTGGTGTTCTCCATTTACTATTATATTCTAAATTGTTAATAACCGTTTCTGCGGGTCAGTTTTACACATACTTAATGTCGTTGGGCACAGTGGCTTTCTCTTCTTTGGGTAAGCCCAGGAAATAGTACTGAATGTAAGGAAATGTCCAGTAATACTAGGAGAAAAAAGATGCGATTAAGTACATCACAGATACACAGTTCAGGAGATGCACCATAACAGCTGTTAGACATTACTCAGAATCAGAATTAGAATTTGTATCACAAAGATGGTTCTTCAAGTGTTCTTTGTAAGGACAATAGTTCTATTTAGACCCATGAGTACTAGCCTATATCGAACCAATTTGATGCTGAAATGGTTCTTTGCATGGTAAAATGGTTCTTCAGATTGATGGAGAGAGGTTCTATTTAGAAAAAATGGTGTGTAGCTTGTAGCTTAGTGGTAGGCGAGATGGACCCTCAACCAGTCCCATGACTGACCAAGTACAGTTGGTTGTGCCCTTGGGCAAGACACTTAACCCCCTGCTATGCTGTTCCCAGATTGAGTATAGATAGGCAACAAATGTCCCTTGTAGGGTACATAAGATTTCACCATGCAAAGAACTACTTAAAGATTAAAAAAGTTTTATTTAGGCTAGTACTCATGGTTCTAAATAGAACCATCACCTTTACTGAAAAATCCTTACAGAAGCATCTTTTTTAAGTGTATAAACCAAATACAGATGTACAAGAATTTTTTTGGTGTTGGTATCAATGGAAAAGCCTGTATTACCAGAATTATGCCAACATTTGTAAGACCAAAGGTGTCACCTACCCAGGCAAAAGGATTTTGGGATCCCTTATGTACTGCATCTGTAAATGCACCTTCAAGTATCACTCCATCAGCAGGGTTTCCTGGAAAAATATGAATATTTATGAGCTTTTGTATTACTGTACTACTTATGAAAAATGTGCAATTGTTCAGCTATAAACACATCAGCAACGAATAGCAAAAGTAAATGAAATGTGTAAATTATGGACTGTGACCCCAAAACCATGCATAATTTGAGTGCAATGTCAATATCACTACTACAGTAGAAACAGTGAATGAAAGTTAAAGATTATAGAAAAGTTAAACAACTGAAAAAGAACTGAGGGATGTCACATCTTTTAGAACAAATATACAGCTCTGTACACAAGTCAGAAACCATTTAATTTCCAGTCAAAACAACTATTAAGTTTCCAAAACTGGAGTTTAAAAAATCATTAAAAGATAGGGACCCATCACATGCTGGTGACACTAAAACTGTCACCATCAGATAAACAGTACTTAAAGCTTTATGTCTGAGTGATGAGACAAAATCAAACACCAAAAATCCATATGTGTTTCTGTCCATCCTTCTGCTGTGTAAAATAATGTAATACTAAGCATGTGTATATGTTAAAAAGTCAAACAGAGCTGATTGTGTTCTCAGAACAATGGCTCACCCCTGAGCCCAGACCTCAGCATCACAAAATGTGTGTTTGGGATTACTTGGATGGTGAGAAGAAGAAAATGCAAGAGGCCTCTGTGTAATTTTCTGTTAAATATATGTTATCTCTTTTTTTCCAGACCTAAAAGTTTGGACTGGACAGTTTTGGAGAACTGACTTAAAATTACATAAATTAAGAGTGGTCCCTGACTTTGCACAGTAGTGTATCAAAATCAGTAAATGGTTTATTACCTTGCTCTTGAAGTTTCACTGCAATGTTAGTTGTTACTCTGTAAATTCAAAGACAAATGTCTTTGCAGCTATAAATGTTCATGATTTGTAATATTCATATATAATAACATGAAAAAATGTGTGAAAGTGATTGCCCAGCAGATTCAGAAAACATTTTTTCTACATGACAGTGGCAAAGCATCATAAGTTACTAAATGAATATACTTTATGTTGTCACTAGATTGCAAAGATTGCAAATGCTATGAAAAATCAATACCAACATCTACTTACACTGTGCCTATTGAGTGACCCCATATGACCAGTGGACTGCCCTTACTGCGCTCCCTCACCCAGTGGTACAGGTAGAGGGCATCAGTGATCAGTCCAGATGCTGTGGGCTCACCAGTGGAGTCTCCAAATCCTAAAAAGATTTTGTATTTGACAAGGAACCATTTTCAGCTCACAGATCACCACAGGATTTTTATTGTGATTTGTTATAACATACCTCTGTAATCCAAAACCACTGCATGATAGCCAAGAGAACTGATGATCTGCAACACCAAAATACTGTAGGTGGGACATTTTTATCACATCAGTTAGTTTTCTAAGAGTGAATATAGTGGAGCTACTCACATTGGCAGTTCCTATTCGATTTGGGGCTGCTCTGTTAAAATAACAGTTTAAGAAATACAACATTAATAAAGCAGTCATACAATCAGTGAAACACAAATGATTGGGAGGCATAGTTAATCCATCTACAATTGATCAAAGGTGTGCTGCAAACTTGTATTTGTGACAGTAAAGCTGACATTTGGTTTTCCGTTCTGTAAAAAGGTGAAACCTAGTTTTGTAACAGTGTCTGACTGACCAAAGTACAGTGGACACTGTATCTCATTGGTCTGTTTAATGATCACTCCACAAAAATGCTTACAACACAAAGTGCATAAAGAGAAGCATTAATGAGTAACAGGAACTAAAGCATAACAGAACAAAATACTAGCTGTTTCTTTGGTTGAAAAATAGGTGAATTTGACCCCTTTCTGCAGGCTGGCAGAATGGAAGTGGGCTCGGATATTTTGAATTAATATGGTCAGTTAAAAATTTTCCCAGTAACTGTGTTATCAGACTAATTAGGACACTGTTGGCTCTCTCTGTGTAATGTTGTGACTCTGTTTTGAGCTGCTAGTGAGCAATGAGGAGTGAAAGGTGAGAACCCCCTGCCATCAGAACAATTCACAACTCTTCATGGTGATGGCCATGCCAAGATAAAACTGTCAGAGCAACTGCAGCTTCCTTTATATCAAAACACTGTCAACACACTAAATATTTTTACTTTTATACTTTTTTACTTATATATATATATATATATATATATATATATATATA